CAAAGATTTTGTCTTATACAACAAAGAGTTGTCACACAGAAAGCAAAAATATTTTTCAGAGTCTCTTTAAAATGATAGTTCACAATGTAAGGAAGTCATATGGGTTTGGATGACGAGATGGATACTTTTTTAAATAGTATCCCTCTCGTCTGCTATCTGGCCAAAATATTCGGCCAAATATTTTCAGTTGCCGAAATTCCGGTGCATAGTATAAACAATGATTTGATTTACAAGGTGTTCAGATTAGTCCTTTGCTATGAAATTGACATGATGGTGAAGAGAGAATCAAATTTGACTCGATTTGCCATCAAAAAGGGCGGTAAGAGCCTTGGCACAGAGTCTTAAGAAGTAATTCAGAGGTTGTTCTTGGATCAGGGGTTGGCCGTGTGAATTTCTCCATTACGTTCCTCTGAGTCCACAGCTGTCCTCTGGAGAGTAGCCTGTAGAGATGTCTTCGGTCAGGAGCCTGCAGAAACGGTCATTAAATGGACGTAATGATCTTGAGAATGTTTATCTACTCCTTCATGGATAAACTACATTACATGGTGGGTGTTTTGCCTCTGCATTTGGTGTCCGGTGTTATCGACCAACGTAATGGCTTGAGTGACACTGGAGGGGAAGCACAAACAGCAGAGTCTTTACTTTCCTCTTAGTTTGCACTTTTCTTGCAGTTCCACAGGTCACTGCCATCGATTTGTTGTCTCAAGTGATAGTCTTATCTAACTGGTTCCAAGCCTGGTGCTTCACAGGTATTTTAAAAAGAATAGGTCACCCCAAAAATTAAATTTACTCACCCATGTTGTATGACTTTATTTTGTTAAATACCAAGAAACATGTTTATCAAATTATCTGACTTTAAAGCAGTATTGATAGTAGCTTATTTGCTAACTATTTATTTTTTTCAGCAGTTTCCAGTAATGAGAATTTCTGACGGATGGCTTTGGGAAATCTAAATCATTTCATTTAATCAGTTTTAGTGAATCACTGCTCGGATAACTCATTTTAATTGGGTTGTCCAAACATGGATTTGCTAATTCATTACTCGGTATTCTCACTGTACTTTCCTCATTGGATCATTGATACTGCTCTTTATTCATATTTTTGGTTCAGTGTTTTGAGTTGTATTAATGTTGATTTAAGTTTGCTCATCCTAATAAAGATTGTTTTTGCAAGTAGTAGTAGTATAATATATTTATAATGTGGCCAAGATTACATTCTAATAACATGAATTCAGACCAAGCCAGTTTAGTTTTATCCGTTTGTGCTACTTGAGACATTCTTCACAGCATTGATCGCAAACCTTGTTGCTCAACGTGCCAGCAGTAGATGGACTGGATTCACGTGGAGGTCAGCCACTGTGTCATGGATATTTAAAGAATGCTGATTTTACATTTTTCAATGCTGAAACTAGGGCCTGGTAAACCAGAATTAGTGCCCAATATGACTCTGAAATGTCAGGCTGTCATGAGACCTCTGCACTTTGTGTTGAGGTTCATTTTGACCTTTTTTTTTTTAAGGCTGTTAAACCATTTCACTCCTCACTATGATTTAATTTGCATATTGTGGATTTAAGGTAATATTTCAAACCTGAAAATAGATCAAACTTACACTGATGCTCATTTAAAAACATGTTTTGATATTATTTTGGTCAACAAATCACTTCTGAGCCTTGTTCGAGGTCAAAATGTCCGTATGTGTGCATATCTAGCGTTGTCCAAAATTGGTGCCTGTGCTCCGCCTAGATCTGTGTTGTGTGATCCGCTGGGGTTCCGACTGCGAGTGTTGGTCCGGAGCCATCCTCTGTCCCAAGGTTAGCTCTGTGGAACGTTCTGGGCTCGTGTCCCAGTGAATAGTGACATGTCAGCAGCCCATTCAAACGAACAGGCTGAGGGTTGCACTCTTTTTAGGACTGTAGAGAGAGACCGACTCGGGTTGATGCCTGTATTTATAACGCTTTTGAGATCTGATCGTCATGTTTATCTCTTGAATGCATTTCATTTGATCAAGATCAATTTCCTTTTCCCTGACCCTATATTTTATTACACTTATATTATTTTCTGATAATTGTAAACCCATTTTTTTTGACACATTTTCTCAAAATTATAATATATGATAAAAAAAATTCAATTGTGATTAATTTGTACAAACTCAATTTTACTGCTACAATAAATCTCTATGGCGTTCTAAACTTCATAAACACTTGCTGGAAATCATTAACGATCTGTTGATGAACCATATTCAGGGTAGACTCCATATTTAAATTAAACGAAGGAAACGCGAGTTAGGTCTGTTATCATTTCTGGTAACTAGCCTTTGTTTATGTAAACAGGCTATCAAAGTATATAAAAAATGTCATTTTGATTTATCGGCCAATATATCGGTTATCGGCTTTCAAATGTAAAGAGTTATCGGTATCGGCCAAAATGTTCATATCTGTGCATCCCTAGCTTTCAGCCTTCACAACCAGGCCTAAATATCCTCCGTTGCAGTTAATTTGAATCTGAATTGATGTATTGCATGCATACGACTTGACGTTGTCCATATAGAATGTACATTAAGCTAATTTTTCCTGTGTCCTGACTTCTATGAATGTACAGATGCCGGTAATTACTATTGCATTGGATTTTGCCATACACAGCCTGTGCCTGCATTGTAATGTCTTCATTACACGTGCGTCTCAGTCACAGATGGAATCAAAAGGATGATTTATTCATTTCCTGATGTGAGCCGGAACCCCATGGACCAAGCACAGCGCTTCAATGCATTTGTACAATTTGCCAAACTAGATGAAATGAGCCATGATAACATGCTACTGCAGTCTCACAATTTGAGCTTGGATTGTTTGAGATCGTGACCAGTTTTACGTCTCTACGTTGTCAATATTTCTGTTTTTAGAAAGCCAGATTTGGATGAGTTCGCTTTACGTGCTTTGTGACTTCAGCTACCCAAGTCGTCAGGTTGACTGGAATTATATTCTTGCAGGGATAAAAAGGTGAAAAGCTGAAGATGAACTGTACAAACACTGATTATATCTATAGCTGGTGTGGTATTATAGACATTGGCCCTCATTTATCATTCTTGCGTAGAAACGGGCGTATATGTTGGTGTAAGATTATGCTTACATTCCTCTCACCTCCTGATTTATGAAGCTGTGCGTACCTTTGAAATCCAGGTGTATGCAATGCCTGCCCTTCAACCCGTGGCTGAAAACGATTAGAATATCATTAGAATTAGAATTACACGCCCCAATATATTCAAGGGAAAAATTTAAGTTGAGATTACTTATTTAAAATTGCAATCTGCAATGGAATTTTCTTTGAGCTACAGGTTTTCTGTAGGACTGCACAAGTTGGCATAAAATTGTTTGTCAATATGACTAAAATAACGTACTGATTGTGTCTTAATTTTAAACGTTAAGCCATTGAGTTTTCTTTTTACAACTGCACGGTTAAGGGCCGTTCACACAGCACTAAGTTTTCTGTTTTACTGCGCTACTTTTCCATTGTTTTTCAAAGTAAACATGTGCTAGACGGATGTCTTTCGCCATTAATTTTGTGTCAACCTTTTTTTTTTCGGCCCCTTTTTATTCCATTGACCTGCATTGATTAATCGTTTAGCCCTAGCATGTTTCGCTTTCTCAGTAGTTGTGATAATATTTAGTATATTTAATATTTAAAAAACTAAAATATTTAGTTTTTATCAGTAATGATGGTAGATTAACAAACGCAAAAAAATGTGAAAAACAGGTGGAATCTGATTGGCTGCCTGATTTTTGTCGTTATAACAAGGCTAAAATCTTTACGATCTCTCCAAAACGCCTCTAGTTCCCTTAACTGGGATAATCTTCAAATTTTTCTTTAGTTTCCCTTTTTTCTCCTCAACGGCATTATCTGAGGAAGGAAGTGCGGCATGTTTTGTTTACACTCAGTCAGTGGTTTGAGAAACGCTTCCTTCCAAGAAACAAGCCCTCAGTGACTGGTGCGACTAACCAGAGATGGTTTCTTTTTACGGAATTCGTTTTGAATCACCCTGCCAGACGTTTCCGGCTCATCTACCTCGCTAATTAGCACAAACACCTTGTTTGAGATTCAGCCATTTGATTGAATGGACCGTAACAATTGGCCTTTCCCAGCTCCAACATTGACGTTATAAGTGGCTCGGGTTCAGATTGTTCTGTCAGGCTCAGACGAATCTAGTGTGTTTACTGAAATTGCTTTGATGAATACTTGTCTATAAAAGATGCGTTATAAAGTATGAAGTGGGTCGTAGGTGGCATGATTGCAATGATGGCCGGAGCTGAACCCTGCATATTCAAGTTTCCTGCGCTACTCAAGGCCATGTTGACTATGTATTTCGTTCCAGTACGCAATTACTCCAGAACCCTCTATATAAATGTCAAACAACTAGCCTTTACTGAGTACCATGGGTTTGATCTGATGACATTGTGTGTGTTTCTTTTTATGTTTTCTTGGCACATGCTCCAGTCTTTTGAGTGCCTGCTGAAACCCTGCTCTTGCCCGGGCTAAAGCTCTTTATATTGGGAAACAAACCTCGTGGCTCAAGCGAGGAATTACTTGTAAAGCGTCCTCTTATTGCACTTGCACATCCTGCATCTGAAATCTGAAATGCCAGACGTGGTTTCGGGAGTATATTATGGAGCACTTTGTAGAGCTTTTCTAGTGTTGTTTAAACGGTCTGCATGTTTATTGGTGTTTGATTCCTCCTTTAAGTCTCTGAGAGCATCTTGTAAATTTAAACTCTGCTTTGAGTAATGGAAAGGCCAGTGCTTGTCAGCTTAAAATGCATAAAACATATCTTATGATTCCTCATTTTATAATTTCAAAATTATGTGCCTTCAGCATAAAACAATAATATAATGTATATATAAAAAACATTTGGTATAATCAAAATATAATTATTTATATACCCACACTTGTATATCCATAATTATATATTTGACTTTGATTTCTTATTAATAATTTATCTTGTTTGTTTTGCAGGGCCTGACTGCTAAACCACTAATAGGATTCACAGGAAACCAAGGGGTGAGTATGCACAATTTTGAACCTTTTGTTTGGGCCATAAACCACATTGATTGTCATGTTCCATCATGGAGCCACAGACCTTGTGTGAACCTGGGACTCTCCCCAGTTAATGTGAAGTGTCCTGGAGCAGTGAGACTTTGACTGTGTAGCTGGAAGTCATCACGTCACAGTAACCGCAGTATCCTCTGCTCACTGTTGCAACATCAGTGGTGAATCCATGCTAAGTCATAGACAGCCATTGGTGTGGATCTCCAACTCGAAAAAAGAATTTTCTCAGACATAGTGGTTGATGACAAATGAATCCTTCTCTTCTGTTATCAAAACCCACTACAGAATTTTTGTACACCTAGTTTTGTTTTTTCGTGTGCTCTACCTCAACCCAGACCTGACGGCGAATTGGCCCAATACATAGTTCCCACAGGCAAAAAAATTGTCACGTGACCTCCCCGGAGACGCCATCTTTGAGGGCAAAACCGCTGTGTTTACCATAGGCGTTTACAACGTTTTATCAGAGAATGTCGTTTTACAAACAAATATTTATGTCTGTTTATATTGTTATGCAAATCATGAAAAGACAAAGTGTAATAGATTATAAAGAGACTATTAAAACAAGACATAGAGAGGTACAATGCGAAAATTTCATTCATAAATGGTGTGTATCCTTATGCAACAAAAGAAGCACTGAGCACCGATTATGCAACTTTGCCTCAGATACAGTATTTTCATGTGTACAATTATCTGGTATTGGTGAGGAGTTTTTACACATGTGAGCAATTCCAAGCCTGGAAATCACTGGAGGTGTACGATCAGATTGACGTGGGGTTGGTTTGGTGACGTTTGCTCAAGTGCAATCAATGGAAAAGTAACTTAGTCATCATAGCGAAGTAGCATGATGCTAATCTGTCTATTAAAAAGCCATAGCCTGCACAACTAATTCCTATGTTCCCCAGTCACCGGTGATTTCTGTAATATGCATGTACTTGCGGGCGTCATGGTTCGGTGCATGAATATTAAAATAAATAACTCGCGTGCAATTTAATTAATGTAATAAATGTGGAACTATTATACGCGGGATCTTTAGGGACATAATCTGAGATTGCAATGCTGGAATGTGAGATCAAACAGTGGAAACAATGTTGTTTTGTATGTTTTTAATACCTCGTCATTTTGTTCGTACAGGACATTATTCAAACTGCAACGTGTTAACTTATATTTATTTACACTCGCAATAAAACACAACATTGTGCTTTTGTCAAACAAATTCTTGCGTGTTTTGAGTGAGTTTCTTTCCTGTTTATGCTCGCCAGCCATAATCTCCGTCGTTGTTCGGACAAAAGCTTAGTCTTCTCACATCCATATGGAGTCTAATGACGGATATAGTGTAAAATCCCGATTTAACTGAACCTCCGGCACGATTTTATCATCCATTGACTCAGCAGGAGATGACCATTTTCACTTTATAGCACGAAACTCATTTCACTTCGTTCAACTCGTATTGCTTCTTCTTATGTTTTGCCCTAAGCAATGGCGCCGGGTCGGCAAATGCCCGTATGTTGTGACGTCATGTGGGAACTATGTATACATGTTCGTGTTGCTGTTATCTAAGTATCTTGTTGAAGAATGTGGTTTGTCTACCTCACACTGATTTCAGAAGGCATGAAATCAAAATTGACCCTTATTTACTTTGTTAGTGCACATTACAAGTCTTGTGGTAAACTCTTAATCTGTGTTGATCTATCTGAATGTACTTCCCCTCTAGAATGGCTTTTCTTCTCTGATGACGTCAGATTGACTGCTTGGGTTGAACATCCCCTCCAACTGTCAGTCTGCGAGCTTTGACAGTGAGCTGAATGGAACGCCCTCTTTTCTAGATCCAATCAATTCCCAGCAGGGAAAAATAAGCCACACCCTCTTTATTTTATATTCAGTTTGACTTAAATGTCAATACTGAAGTTGGCCGCAACGTCTGGATCACGGTGACTTTAAACTGAAATTTTCTTATGTAAACATGCTGAAACATGACTGCAATTGTTGCAAGTTTTGTCATTAGGACAGAGGGTGTTTAAAGTGCATGTTTCCCGGACTTTTAGCCAATAAACTGACAAATCTGTCATTGACTCTTCCTCATGTCTTTCGAAACCGATATTACTTTATTTCTTTAGTTGGAAACACAAGGAGAAGTTGAGTAGAATCTACAAGCTGATTGCTTTTTTTTTTTTTGTAATTCTGGCCTACACCAATTAGCCAAGAATAATTTTCATGTTTTGGTCAATAACTGAAAATTATTTAAATTAAATATATATTTTTTTAATTAAATAGTAAAGCACTTAAAATAACAACATACACAAACTGTTAAACCAGAAAACTGGCGACTGACGATTATCAGTAATGTATTGTAGTAGTAGTAGTAGTATTAAAATATTAAATTAAATACTTTAGTTTTGTGAATTAAAGATTGCCAAGGATTTTGTTCCATAGCTACACATTACAAGAAACGTACCAAAAAAATGCCACAGATGAAGAGTCACGTGAAATCGCTAAAGCCCCTTTCAGACAGCGCGTTGATCCCGGGAAATTGCCAGAACGCCTTCTGTGTGAACGCAAACACGACCCGGGATTGATACTGGCATCGATGCCGGGTTGGGGACCTAGTAACATTGCCGGGATCAGTCTCGGAACGCACGCTGTGTGAACAAAAGCCAGGACTAATGCCGTAAGGGGTGTGTCATAGTGATGACGCTCGTGCCATCGCGCGACTCTATTGCTTTTAGAAGAAACTTTGTGCTCGTTATCAACAAAGTAAGGACGAACAAATGTCTGCAAACTGGAACGAAGCAGAGACCAGGAGCTCCTCACTATCCGCACTGAAGCTGAGATCATTCACCAGCTTTGTGGAACGGTATGCGCATGTACATGTTTTTGACGCGTACGTTACGCGTCTCATCCTGACTTCATGTGTCTTTCCGGGATCTTGACAGGTTGTGTGTGAACACACTCGCAGATCCCGGCAAATCACCGGCAGTGTGAATGAACCAAAATCAAACAATCCCGGGACAAATGTCGGGTCACATTATCCGTGTATTTTCCGGAATCTCTGTGTGAAAGGGGCTTAATAGTTAATGGCAATTATTAATATACATTTAGTTTGTTATGAAGACAAAATAATATTCTGCAATATATTAGTTATTGGTTAACTTCTCAATAACAATTTCTTTAACGTTTTGTTTTGCACCATTGCTTTGACAAAGTATCTGTCAAAAGAGCTCACGTTGAGAGTCAGTTGTCAAAGAAGCTTGCTCTGTGGGATGTATAGTGGTTTGTCTATAAATCATCAGTAGGATTTCACTTGGTGTATTTACTGATTCATCAGAGACCACATACTCGCACACCACCATGGTTTACTGAATCACATGTGGGATAAGACTGCCAGTTTGCTTGTTGAATTAAAGCTGTATCAGAGCTTTTAGTGGTGTATTATGAGCAGACAGAGAGCATGAGAATCCTTGAAATGCTATATGGATGCAGCGAACCAGAAAGGATGGAGAGGTGGCCGGTCGCACGTGTTCCTTCAGACTAAATGTGTTTATCTGGCAGGCCCATCAGCCTTGCATTGGTAACCAATTGGTTGGGTTGAAATTTGCAAAGGGTAGGTGCATCCATGAGCTTTATGTGGACTTTCTGATAGAGCCAGACCAATATATCGGCAGGCCGATATTATCGGCCGATATTGGGCATTTTCTAAACTATCGGTATCGGCAGTTATAATGGCTGATAAGTGAATATTTCAAAAATAAAATAACGGACGAAACACGCTTGAACCATGTCATGAGTGTTGGAGTTGTATAGTTTGTCCACCAGAGGGCACTCTACACCGTCCCTGTTGGCAAAACTCGTTGAGTTGGTCACGATACATACATTGCTTGAATAACAATTAAAAGAACATCCCCATCAGTTCTCTTGACTCAAATAAGCATGACAAAATTTGTGACTATCATGTCCAGTTTTGGTGCTGTTAAATAAGACGAGAGTGAAGCGGTAATAGTTACATTACGTTGTTACAGTGTAGTTGGCTGACTGTCCTTTTGACAATGTGACTGAAGTATTTCTGTAATGCCGCGTGACAGTTATAGCAATGAGACGCATCATCACTCCTTGGCCTGTTCTATTGAAAATGTATATTTTACACTTTGCAGTATGATGTCATCCATTGCTAAATTATGGCTCATCATAGACTAGCTAACCACAAATGATCAGTCTGTTCTGTTTTGACAATTAAAGAAAAAAGTTTCTTTTTAAAATGCATTATCATATTATTTTAGTTAAAATTCATAAATAACTACAACTAACTAATGTTAGGGAAATCTGTTTCGCGTTTCGGAAAAGAAAATATCGGCCGATATATCGGATTTTAAAACCAACAAAAATTTGTATCGGCCTTCAAAATCCTTTATCGGTCGGGCTCTACTTTCTGAATGAGCAAGGCAATGTTCATGTCCAGGAGTGAGAGGAGCAGAGGTGCTGCCGTATGACCATAAGAAGAAGCTTTGTTCCTGGTTTGGACCAGAGTCGAGACCAGGGGAAACTCCAGTAACGTCACTCTTTCACTGCTTGTGATGAGTTGATTCATAACCTTTTGGGAGATTTTTCCAAAAGGCTCAGTGGTTTGTACAGCATTTTGCAATGGTGAAGTGACCATAAGTTCAGAGAACTGATGATTAAGTTTAGAAATGAATACTTTTATCTAGCAAGCATTAAATTGATCCAAAGTGACCGTAAAGATATGTATATATAATTCTACAAAAGATGGTTTTGCTGTGATTTTGAACTTTTCTATTAATCAAAGAATAAACATATTAAGCAGCACAATTCTTTTCAACATTGATCATAAGAAATTTGTCTTTGTTAAGCAACAAATCAGGATATTAGAATGATTTCTGAAGGATCATGTGACTCTGAAGATTGGAGTAATGATGCTGAAAATTCAGCTTTGCATCACAGAAATAAATTAGAATTTTTGATAAATTAGAATCACTGACTGTTAATCATATTGGATTTTGTTCTTTGAAGTACATCATGTTTTGGGCCTGTGACGCAAGCTTCCTTTGAGAGCGTTTCCTCTCTTCTGTGGGTTTTTTTCTCTGTCAGTGAAAGCACAGCTCATCTAGAAGGGGAGGTTAGCAGCTGCGTCACGTTTTCTGAATGAAGAAACTATGAATTGCAATTTGTATTTCTCAAAGAGTATTAAACTGCAATGTCTCAGCCAAGGCATAATAAAAAGCAACAAAATAAAAGCCGTAACTGCTAATATAAATCAACAGCTTTTATTGCGACGCCACTGAGTGATTGGAAGTGGCAGAGCTTATGGACCCACCGTCTTTGCTTGTTGGATATCTCATGTGGGAGTGTGAAAAATGGCGTGTGAGCCAGCGAAGTAAAGCGTTGAGCCGAGGGAGCCCTCGGGCTGGTTGTGTGAGCCTCGGACGCTGGCTGTTATTTATAGTTGGCCACCTGCAGGCCACACACGTGTGAGGAACCCTGGGTAAACAGCCAGTGCTCAGCGTATGTTGTCGGGTTACTGTTAACTGGGCCTCTGCGAGGAAAAAGTTCTAGAAAGTTCTATTTTAACACTTACATTCACTATTTGTTTTTATAGACTTTATATTGTACATTGTTTGGAGGACAGCATTGGGCTGGATGTGCAATAACATTTTTAATATAATGGGGAAAAAAATAAAAGAAGCAAATGATTAATCTTTTATTAAAAAATGTTTAACTTATTTTAATTAACTATTTATTTTATTGATAAAACTAATACTCATAACAACATGCTTTTTATTAACATTTTAGTTGTATACAAATATTAATTACTATTATCAAGTTGCGTAATTGTTAAATTTACTTATTTAAATTTAATCTATATAACTGATTTTTAGGGATGCACGATATATCGGCCACGTTATCGGTATCGGCCTATGATCATTTTTAATGTTATCTTTATCGGCCCAACAAGAACATTCAGCCGATATCTAAAAGCCGATAAATAATGTATTATTTCCTTCAGCTGAGGCACTTTAGATGCGCACTGTTCAACATGATGCTTTTAAATTGCTTGAAATACGATTGAAATCACTTTAAAAAAGGAAAATCCAAAATGTGCAGCGCAAGTCTGTCATATCGGCTACTCGACATTAAAATAAGAACATCATAACTGTGTTTGTATCTTGACTTTTCATGAGGAGACTTTTTATAATCAGGCTCTCAAAAAATGTCTAAAAATTTGGATTTCGCTTTATCTGCCAATATACCGGTTATCGGCTTTCAAATATAAAGAGTTATCGGTATCGGCCAAAATTGTCATATCGGTGCATCCCTACTGATTTTGCATCATTAATAATATTAAAATATCTATTTACATATACACATTTTATATAAATATTTGATTTATTAATTTGTATTATATTTAACCCCTCCCCCCATATTAAAGGTATACTTTTGCTGTTTTGCGTGAATTTCTGCTGCTTGCACAATGTGCTCGTGTATCTCTGTGGATGAGATCACAGTTCTCGTTAAATAAGAAATTAAAAACAAACACGGCTGAACAAGGCAGGTGAAGATGCCACTCACACAAGACGAATCTCAGGAGAGATGCTGAGACATGATTGGACATGCTTTCCAGCCCTCCATCTGTGCTTGTCGACGGGTGTAATTTGGCTCACGTTTGTTTGCTGCCTTCTCAGGTGTGCTCCTGAAACACCTGTGTGGCGGCTGCTGGAGCCGGAGGTTGGTCGGTGTGGTTGCACACATTAAGGAGATTACAAGAAGGGCCCCTTAGGGCCACAAACCTCAGTTGTTTTAAGAGGTTAAGTGCAACTCTTGCAAAGTACATTTGCAGTTTGGCCGTGTAGAAAAACGAATTTGACTGAAACATTATGCATCACCCATTACTTTCACTTCAACGTGTGACCATTTCATCATGCATTGAATTCAGATAAAGAGTCCCTGACCCACAGGATTCTGTTCTTTCTCTTCTCTTGCTAGAATTTGTTTCGAATTATGTATTTATTAGTATTTTTAACAAATTAATTTGTTCTCCGCCTGCAACTCGCGATTATTTTGAAAATCGATTAATCTGTCAATTTATTTTTCTATTAATCGGATGATAAAATACTGTTTCCACTGTCTACCAATTCTTTTATCTGTAGAAATGGCTTGTTCGCTACTGTCAACTGCTGTGACTGCCTCATGGTTTTCCAAACAACACAGCGTTGTTGACTTACTCATTATTGATAATCAATTTTATCGATTAGTAGTTGCAGTCCTAATTCATTCATTTATATATACTTGAATATATATATATATATATATATACACTCGTATACTTACAACACACACACATATATACTTAAAGTCATTTTTAACTTGAACCTTTTTATGGAAGTAAATCTGTGTAATCCATTTTGCACTATCCAGCTGCTTTAAAACAGGGTTTTCTCTCTCGTCTGTCTCAGTGCTTATGTTGGCTGCTCTTCTCCTCTGTGTCAACAGAAAATCTCAATACCGCAGTCAGAGAATCCAAATGAACTGCGAACGTTTACGTTCTACCTGTCCAACGTGGGGAAGGACAACCCCCAGGGCAGCTTCGACTGCATTCAGCAGTACATTACAAGGTAAGAAAGAAAACAAACCATCTTTTATTCGGACACATTCATGCCTTCTCAAGGTAGTGCAACGATTTCTGATGTACAAGTACGTTTGTCTTTTAAAAGGAAACGGTTGATTTGATTTTATCAGTCAACGTCGAAAAAAACTTGCATCCATGGTATCATTACGAGCACCATCTGTTCCGTTCTCTGTTCTCGCTACTGTTCAGCTCTGGATGAACACCAGAACAGAGAGAATAAATTGAATTTGGCCAATTGTCCAACCAAATGAGGAGGAAACTGGGAATGCATACTGTTGCTGCTGCTAATGTCCTCCCATGTTCACAATAAGATGAAAGGGTCAGCTGAAGTTCAGCCGTTACATGTTGCTTGAGTTTCTCTTTCTACAACAAAAGGCCAATTCCAAGACACTTGTGTGAATGGGGTTTCTCATACGGTTAGTCCAATTTTTAACCATCTTCAGCCATTTGTGTTTTTTACAGAAATGACACCAAGGCTCTTTTACAATCATTAGACTGTTTATCACTCTGCTCTAAGATCTGTTACTCATACAAATTATTAAACTCATCTTTGTGCACTGTATGAAATGGTTGGTTGGCCTTCACTTCACTTAAAGGAGAACTCCGGCGCAAAATGAACCTTTGGTCTAATAACACATTGGTACCTAGTCAATCGTTCTCTGGGATTTGTTTTCATGATAATCGAATCTAAAGAGTTTCATCTCGAAAAACTGTTTAGCGTATAACGCTAGTAATGGGGGCATTTACTGAGTAAAAAGAAATCTAGTTTATACCACTAGTATCTTCTTTCTTATTAAACGGTCTTTACACTTACAAAGTTCTCAATGCTTCGTTTTGAATGTATGGTATGAACTAACTTCTTTTTACTTGTATGCCCCCATTACTAGCATTTTACGCTAAACAGTTTTTAGAGATAAAACTCTTTACATTCAATTATCATGAAAACAAATCTCAGAGAACGATTGATTAGGTACCAATGTTTTATTAGACCAAATGTTCGTTTTGCGCCGGAGTTCTCCTTTAAGAAGGTACAAGCATTGGCTTATACTGGTGTACAAGGCCATAGTTGGTCAACTTCCTCTGTATATGATTAGTCTATTAACTGTCTATAGTCAAGGGTATAATCTGCGTTCAAGTAGATACATTCTTTTAAATGTTCCTTTAATGAAGACCGAGTTTAGAAAAACTGCTTTTATTTATAGTGCACCAACTGCTTGGAATGAGATTCAAAGATCATTGAAACTCACTGTATTTGTGTCAGTCAGTGAGTTTGTTGCATCTCAATTAAACATTTCAAACTGTCTGCACCTGTTCTTAACTTTTTAATTTTGGTTTATTTGTTGTGTGAGTGTGTTAGTGTATGTGTTGTGACAGTTTTTATGTTCATTGAGAGCTGCTACCTTTGGCCAGGGCTCACTTGTAAATGAGATATCAATCTCAATGTGATTTTCTTACCTGGTTAAACAAAGGTGTAATAAATAAATTTCACCTCGTACTTAGCTAATTTGTCATTTAGCTGTAGCTTTTCAAAAAAATTGTTTTTATTATTATTTTTTTTTTTTTTTTTACTACGTGGACAGGCCTCCTAACATTGAAGATTGTTGTATAATGATGACAAAGACCTTGAATTCTGGATCACCCACCCTTTTGGGGTTTGTTAAATCATGATGAATGCTCATTCCAGGTCCAAGCCTCTACTCGTTTCACTTGAGAATATGATCTCAAAAGCTGTTTATGAGCACTATTTATTCACAATACAGATTTAGGCTAAGCATTTAAAAACATACGGTGTGGCCCATGCTAACAGCACAGACACGTCGTTTGGATGAATCACTGTCCAGGATTTCGTTATGAAGTTAAAGGTTAGGATTCACATTTTTTGGTAGTATTACATCACATCGTGAGTGTATATCAGCTTCGTTTGTTGTTTTGTGTCGTCTGGTAGAGCGTTTGGACCCGGAAGCAGTGACGCATGATGTCAGGCTTAACAAGCGGATGGTCTTTAACCACTGGATCACATGACTACTGTGTCAAGTGCCAGTTTAGTATGGTTTGTTAGGTTGACTGAGATATATATATACACATACCCCTGTGTATACATGCATGCATAGATGCAAACATACATGCATATACATTTATTTTATATACACTTATAAAACTTATATATATATATATATATATATATATATAATGTATATATAAATATGTGTGTGTGTTTCTATATATATATATATATATATATATATATATATATATATATAAATAATTGTACTTGTAGATTTAATAAAATAAATTAATATTTTATTATATGTATATGATACAAAGATGAATTTTCAGCATCCTTACTAACAATTCTTCTGAATACTTATGAATAGCTGTGCTGATTATTGCTTAATTTTTGTGGAAGTGTGATGAATCTAAAGATAAATAGACCATTTAAGATGTATAGATGCATTTTAAAAAAAATTAGTCTTGATCATTTTAGTGAATTATTTCTGAATAAAATATTATTCTATTTTATTAAATCTACAAGTACAATTATTTTTATGCATATATATAAATTAAATGTAGTAATTTTAGATAATTAATTTAATATAATTTCATTAAAGATTAACCCTAAAAAAATCAGAAAAATGAGACTAACTAGCCCTAATCTAGTCAGCCCTACTAACATTGTCAGTGCACTATAAACCTTCATGAAATTCTCTAAATTTATCTGTAGCACCAGCCATCAAAGCATCACTTATGCAACATTCGCTTGCTTCATCTAAACGTTTCAAGACCATTACTGTTAGACTTCTCATTGTCTGCTGAGAACAGTGTTATTACGCATATTCAGTGACTTAGCAGCTTTTTTTTACAGGGCTTTCTTCCGACTTCCTTCAGAAAACACAATGTGCCTTAACTGTGATCTGGTGCTGCCAAGCTTAGGGCAAGCAGATCAAAGGCATTTGACAGGGAATCAGGGTGGATGAGCTGTTCATAAGGATCCTCTCTACATGTGTTGCCCTTTAGAGAACCACCTGCGCTGCAAATGAGCCATTGCAACACATTTGAAATGCATAACTGGTACGAAGGTGGCATAGTTGGTGCCATTTGGAGTGTCTTGACTGGCTTGTTTTTTGTCCAGTGAAGGGAGCATACAGCTGGACTGCCTGGGAGGGATCCAGGACAAAATCACGGTATGCGCCACAGACGACTCCTACCAGAAAGCCAGGCAAAGCATGGCTCAGGCCGAGGAGGAGACTCGCAGCCGCGGAGCCATCGTCATCAAGCCTGGCGGGAGATACGTGGGTAGGTTTGACGCATCTTGGGCCACCACATTTGAATGTATGCGACTGTTCCTGTAAGGCTTGAGCGGAAGAACCTCGTTTTGGTCAAAATCCCATCTGTTTACACATGGTGCACACAGACAGGTGGAAGGGGGCGGGGGGGGGGGTGCGATCCGAGCCAGTTCGTCTCCACATGTCTGAAACTGCAGAGTGTTACATAATTTATGAAGCTATTCCGGTGCGCTCTACAAATATTATATGGAGTACTCTGTAACTTGCACAACACTATCAAACACTAGCTTTCACCAAAGGTGAAGTCAAATGTGCCAATAAAGTCAAATAAAAAATGTGCAAAAGTTGTAATAAATAATTACCGGGTCCTTAAACAGGGTTTGCACAGGGCATTAAAAAGCATCAAAAGTCATTAAATGGATTTTGCTAAAATTAAGGCTTTAAATAGCATCAAAAGCATTGCATTTTTAATCCTACAGGCATTCAAAATTTAGATACTATTTATTTGAATATAGCCTTCATAATTAATCATTTTTATTTGCCATCGCAAAATATGTACGTTGGTGTGAAACTTGTTGAAACAGTTTGGTATTTGGTTCCGGCTGGACCAGAATTGACGTGATGCGGAGGTAACGCCGGCATTTTGTACAGCAGGAAAAACAGGAATAAAACTAGACCAGAAAAATAGGAAAGTGCAAATTCCAGCAGAAGTGGATGATTTTAACGGGCTCTAATTATAAGATCCCGGTCTTATTGCTTTGGTACTGTTCGTCCAAGCCAAGTTCGAGTTCACTCACAATTATGCCAAAATGTCAGTTTTTGTTGAGTATCCTCATAACATAAGAGCAGTCTTGAGTTAAATAAAGTCTCAAATGAACTCGAGAGTTAAGTGAATGAGGAGCGTGTGAGATCGTGCAGCAGTGGCTTTTTTAAAGGGACGGCAGACACTAATTCTCTCTCATTAATGTTAATCAAAGAACAGAGGGAACAGAGAAAATCACTCGCTGCTCTTGACTAAAGAACTTTTTGTGTCTTTAATAATGAGTATTCTATATTTAATCTTAATTTATGTTGTGCAGACTGTTCGATAACTTCATTCAATTTTTGTATATTCTCTTATCTGAGGGTTGTTTGAAGTTTATCAATAGCTGAATTATTAGTGAGACTGACCTTCATTCATAAAAAAAGATGCAATTAAAAAAGTATTTTAAATATACTGTCCATGTCGTTTCTACATTAATTCGGAGATTAACGGTGAAATTATTACAATTAAGTCATTTAAACCCATAAGAACCGTAGTTCATCTTCGGAACACTAATAAAGATCTTTTGATGAGATCCAAGAGCTTTCTGATCCCTCCATAGACGGCTTTGCAACTTTCAAGGCCCAGAAAAGTAGTAAAGACATCGTTAAAGCAGTCCATGTGATTACAGTGGTTTAACCATGATGTTATGAAGCGATGCACAGTAGACTATAATTTCTTTACTACTTTGATATACTTACTTGCTCATTCAAGAGATTACCCTCTGTTTGTTTTACGTCCATTTTGACCAACTTTTTTCCCTTTACTGTTCAGGTAAGCGCGTACAAATCCGGAAGCCGATAACGGGCGTGTCGGATGTGGCTCCGTCGCGGCGGATCTCAAGGCCAATTATCGTCTCCAGCAGTCAGAAAAAGAGCCCGCCCCGGCCGCTGAGGGAGCGGCTAGTGCATTTACTGGCCCTCAAGCCCTACCGCAAACCCGAACTGCTGGTGCGGCTCACGAAAGAAGGCCTGTCTCCCCAGGACAAGGAGACACTGGACAGCCTCCTGCAACAGGTTCGTAACCAGCACTAGAAATACCAATTGATGGCTTTGTTACATGCATACTAAAACGCGATATCCATACTGCATGCTGTAATATGCAAGTATAGAACCTCTTTCAAAGTTATGGTCTCGGCTTGACTAATTTAGTTTGCTTGAGCCATTCTAAATCATGTTTTTGATCTCTACTTGGACATAATGGCTCGACCTAGACACATTTGTCAAAACATAGACGGACAAACTTAGGCCTGCATAAAGCCAAAGCATGTAATATACAGAGGCTGTCAGCACGCTGTTGTAGTGTTGTTTGTTTTTCTACACTGGTGTTGAAATACAGCGCTTATTTTTAGAGAGCCAAACACTTGTTTCATTTTGCTGTGTTATTTTTTTTTATTTTTTCCTGGCTGGGTGTAGGTGGCTAACCTGAATAGTAAGGACAACACCTTCACATTGAAGGATTGTTTGTTCAAGGAAGTTCAGAAGGACTGGCCCGGTTACACTGAGATGGACCAACAGATTCTGAAGAGAATTCTTGTACGGTAAGCTTCAGTGACTTTCACATCCACACTGAATTATCTGTCATTTTTAAAGCAAATAAATTAATACAAAAAGGTTCCCTTCATCTCAGTGGAATAAGATTTTGTCATTTTTCATACATTATCTATCTATGCACACACAAAAAACTGGGCTTGATTCAGTTGTGATGAAGGTATGTAAAAAAATGTCTCAAACTTCTGGTCTTCGGGTTCAATATGACCCCACATTGAAATGAATGGGAAATGTAAAGAAAAAAAAACGAAATATATTTTGTTGTGTCAAAAAAAGGCCTAGTACTAGAGCATAAATGCAAAGTATCATTAAGAAAATAATATTTGATATGCAAGCTAATGTTGTAGTTGAGGTATATGGATACAAAAGTACTTTATATCTCCAAAAACACAGCATAAATGAATAGATGAGAAGTAAACAAAATAAATGATATATTATTTGTATGATTAAAAATGTATATATTTTTTTTGTACAATTACTCAATCTATTGTTGGGGTCGTATTAGACCCAGAAGTGTAAACAGGAAACAAAGACTATTTGAAGGTTAATAAACAACGATGGCGGATGATGGGCAAGAAGAAATGTCGATAATAGTGTTTCTACTGCTTTTAACAGAAATATCACGGAAATAGGAAAAGTGTTTGGATATAGTGTTATGCTTCAATGTTCCGTCAGCTCGGTTTCTGATTGGGTATAGTTTCGTTCCAAGTGACAATCTACAGAGTGCGTGTGCGTTAGTCATCGGGGTTCACCCCACACCTAACAGGATTTCTGATCCTAAACATTCAACATGTTGGAGGTTTACGATTTGAGATCCGTGCAGCTCAGACTTCCAAGCTAAATTAATCATCATATAAAATAATCTATAGAACCATCAAGGTTATCATGACTTTACCTAGGATTGTCAGAAGGGGAGAATTTGGCCCAAAATCAGCCTGATTGTTTTGTTGTGTGTTGATGCCTTTACTTGGAAACGTCTGGGTTCCCATGAACTCTGGTGGTGTAAGACCCCTGGAAGCTAAATTTAGAGAGGCCATGCTACATGTTAGATCTGGAAGAACATGGTGTTGTGATATCCCTTCAAAACAAAATGAAAATATTTGCCAGAAACAAACCCAACACCCATGTGGAACACACGACACACGCTTGCACTTTGAGACTGGTGGTGAAGCTTATCAGCTGACGGGCCTTTTTACATCCACACACCCCCCTCTTGCACCCGCCCACTTCGTGCTGTCATGTAAGAGCGGTGACTGTGTGCAGTTGGGAGGGTAGTGATGCAACCTTATTCCAGCACATGCTGATCCGTGTGTGTGGGTGGCACAGGTCCAAGGCCAGGCCGTGCATGGGCATGCACAGTTTGATCGAGACCATAGCGACTCATGCCCACCCACCTACTCTCAGGCATAGCCCCCTGTCCATGTACCCTTGATGGAGGCGGGGCCTGATATCGGGACACTTTGTCCCATGTCGTACTGCCCCCTGTTGACACTGCCTCAGTGCACTTGACCTCAAGCAGCATTATGAACTTTGGCTGGTTGTTTGACTTTATTTTTTTAGTGCATTTAAGTTAAAATACACATTTATATGGAAAATTAATTAAATCATCTGAAGTGATTGGAGTGCCCATTCGCTGTGGTGGCGTTTCACAGAACTCTGACCAACATCACTAAATTTAGGCCACGTGATAAAGTTGTATGTATTCACTAGGGGTGTAACGATGCACTCATGTCATGATTAGATGAATATCACGATACAATATTATTGCGATACTCCAAGACGCATGAAAAATTTTTTTACTGTTGATTTAAAATGCTAAATTTGTTATTACATTGTGGGTGTAAATAGGCTTGGACTAGGGTTTGGTAACCCAATAGACGAGGACAATAGTGCGTAAAACAACCAGAATAAAAAATATTCTTTATTCTGAAGCTGAAAACATTCATCAGAAGAATATGCTTGCACTCTTTCACTGAATAGATACATTTAAAATAATGTAGGCCACTTTACTGGGAACATAAGACGTTTGGCTTTATCAGGACCCACACATATTTCCCCCATTGCATTATTATAGCTACATTTTTTATATATATATATATATATAGTAGTTTAATGTAGTACAAAAAAAAACATTCTATTAAACTTGATTTTTTTTTTCTCACATTACTTTTTATTTTGGGTGAACTATACTCAATATATGGTCACTATCCACTAGGGGTGTAATGGTTCACAAAATTCACGGTTCGGTTCGATACGATACACGGTTCAGTACGTTTCCAATAGGCCTACAGCAAAAAAGATGGCAGCGAAATTTCCTTGATTTTTAATTTTTTAAATTATATTTTTATTAAAACTAGCTAAACTAAAACTATTTTTTAACTTTGAGTAATGATGGAGCTATACTTGACTTTTCTGAGGAGCATATAAAACAAAACAGCTGCTTGGACAAAATGAAATGTAATATTTTAGTAGTTATAAACAGGTTTGTTTTAGTTTAGATTAACATTTGAAGGCAGCAATTATATTCATAATGTCAAAATAAAACCAACGTGATGTTACTTGAAAGCATTATAGCCTACCTGCCAAACTTCCATGACCATGGCAGTTAGTGTTACTACAGTAAACCCATGGTGAATGTTGCTGATCTGTGGACACTGGATAGCCCTAGTTCATTCATGGCACAATGTTTCTTCCAAGTCAGCGCTGTTTGATCGTTAATAAAGGAGAAATGTGAATGTTTCTCACTAGATCTTGCAGCGATGTTCTAACTTCAGTGGCCAATTCAAATGTTTTCTTTACTGGATTTGGCTGAGTACTACTGTAACTGAGCTGCTTGATTCAAATCGTCTCGCACTGCATTGGTCCAAACTGATAAACGGTCCATCATCCACAGGATCACACAATAACGAGTAGCTCAGTTATTTATTTCGCTTACATTCCATTTGCCATTTGATGTTGGATTTGTGGTCATGCCAGCATTTCTTACATTATGAGCGCGCTAGCCACGCGCAACGCACCTACATTTGAAATAACGACATTTCGTTCAGCAGGAAAAATAGTCCAACGAACCGTTCGGTTAAAAAATTTGTACCGAACGGTTCAATACGAATACGTGTATCGTTACACTCCTACTATCCATGGTATATATTGTTGCATTTTTGTATTGTGATGTATTGACCATGTATTTACATTGGCCATATTTTGATGTACATGTTTTAACTGATGATATGTCACACAAGTTGGTCAATCTTCTTTTTTCAAGACTCTTTTGATCAGTACACTTGTGTTCCTGCTGTGCCATTTAAATGCATTTAGTGCAGTAATGCGTTTTCCAAAGTGACATTTAAACGGCTTCATCGTATTCTATCTTCATGAAGACTTGTCGGATTTGTCAAATGTTGTGGATGTGATATTCACATAACCATCTGCTTCTCAATAAATTGCTTATCTATTGTAAGACAAGTTGCATTTTGATGTGCTATGCTTCAATAATTAATATCTCAGTTTTAGTTTATTTTTCTGGAGTTATTTATGAAAACCAATTAAAGGTAAACATTTTACAGTACAGTCTGCAGCACTTTTCTGGGTTCTTTTGATCTCACTGAGGCTGCTCCTTGGTTCTTTTTAAACTGATGATTTCTTGTCTTACATTCTCCACAGAAAACTGTGTAAGCCTCAGAGCAGTACCCCTGTGTCTATGGAGAGCCCGGTCAGCCCGCACAAAGAGCCAGCCAGCAGCTCACCCTCTCAGGTCAGCCTTTTGCCTCGTTTTAGACCCATCAAAGCTGGAATAGAACTGTTATGATGGATCGGTTTGTGTTATGAGGAAATATGTAAGGGTTAATCCTCTCCTGCCCCCACATTTCTTACATCAAATCATTCGTAAAAATGATGCACTACTAGTAAACAACTGGTAGCCCTTAAACCATATTCACTTTATAGCCTTTAATCCTGTAATTGTGGACAAATGTGGGCACAGAGGACTCGGGTGTGATCATGATTTTTATTTATTATAAATGTTATATCACTGTCTTCGATAAAGTTTTGTCTATCCATTTATGGTGTTATTTTTTATTTTGGGGTTATTTTTGAATTTATTTACTTCAAAAAGTGCCATATTTTCTATGTAAATTATTCTTATTTTTTTGTTTTTTTTAACAACATTAAAATATCATTCCAATAAGTTCTTAGCAAAGTCACTTCATCTTTAGGTTTTAGCTCTGTCACCTGGTGTCTTATTTTGGCTTATTTTAGAATGCTCTAAATTACAGTTTTTCCCATTCATTTCTATGGGTACCCATTTTTGACCCAAATACAAGATTATGGAGGGGGTTTTTTCACCCACTTAACATTGTAGAATTGAGTCAAAAAAATTGTGTGTTCAGGAGACTAACTAAGGAAAAGTAGCCAAGTCTTGTACCGCTCAGATCAGTTTTTAGGGTTAAACATTTAATCACTGTTTAATAACATCCCAGTTTAACAAACCATCATTGTTCGTGGCCAACAGAAAAGACCTGCAACAGAGTTCATCGATCCCCTGGCCAATAAGAAACCCAGAATATCGCATCTAGCTAGCAAGTCTACAGGGCTCATCAACGGCAAACTGAGCTCATCCAATGGTAAGGACTCTTCTAGTTCTCAAGCAGCAGAGACGTCGTCGAGCTCTCAAATCCCTCCGCTGGAGATCCCCCGACCCTTTGACCCCCTTTCGGATGTCAGCAACGACTCCAACGGCAGAGACTGTGAAAGTCTGGAGGCGGCAGTGGCGGAAAGACTGAGTCAGCCCCCGTCATTCGCCCCTCGCTCCACAACGCAAGACGAAGTTCTGGGATCCATGTCCCCAACCCACAGCAGCCTGGACGGATCTCAGACCCGGACCGCTCAACTCTCACTGCATGGCAAGCCTAAGAAGAAGTCAAAAAAACACAAGGACAAAGACAAGTCTAAGGAAAAAGACCGAGAGCGGGACTTGAAGAAGGACAGGAGAGTTGATGAAGACCACAGCCTGGATCAGAGGAAAACCTGTGATGTCACAAGCGATAGGAGGACAGGTGCGGATTATTTTCTCTGAATAATTTATCATGTCAAGGATCAAGCACCTCAGAATGCTGCAGGTGAACTTTTGTCCCATTTTTGAATTTAGTCTATAATCTCAATTAGATCTGACTAAAGATTTCGGATCTTGAGTATTTTGAAGAGTATGTTTGGCAAACAAGTCAACGGCAAAAAAAAGTTGATTAATGGTCATACAGGAGGCCCATCAATTGAACAAAAAATAGTCCAACAACTAACACATTTGTATAGTTCAGACAACTCACTAAGTAGTCAATTAGTCTAACAACCAACCAAGTTGTTAGTGAGGCCGATTAATTAGTGGGGTGGGCTCTCTGAACATTTATTCGAGTAGGAAATAACTAGTCCAAAGTCTGACACAGTGAGGTCATTCGGTGAATAATTATTCAGGCAACACACCAACTATTTGATTAGTATTTGTTAGTGGGGTTGATTTGTTGAATAGTCGCTCAGATAACCCATCAATTATTTGATTAATAGTCTAACAACAGACTAGTTGGATTAGTGAAGTCAATTAGCTAAATAGTTATTCAGACGGCTCACCAACTAGTTGATTAATAGTCCCAGCATCTAGCATGGCCTGTTAGCAAGGTCATTTAGTGGAAAAGTCATTCTGACAATCTATTTCATATGCAGTGGTGGCGAGATGAGCCCCATTGAAGCTTTTCAGGCAAGTGGTTCACAAAAGGGTTCATTTCTCGAGCCTTCATTTGCTCACAATACCACCTGGTGGTCAAAGAGTGGAAAACAAGCAGATGCATTACAGATGTTCTGCCTACACTGTATTTTGCACCAGTTAAAGGTGCTCTAAGCGACGTCACACGTTTTTTAGGCCAAAACATTTTTCAAACATGTCCTCACTATCCACTAGCTGCCTGTCCCCTAAACACACTGTAAAAAAAAAAAGCGGTCTATGCAGACAACCCAGGCTCCACAAATGGCAACAAAAACAAACTGCGGCAACCCGCTCCACGAAACATAACAAACTGTTCCAGCCAATAACTGACAAGAAGCCCTCGGGGTGGGGTTTGGGGGGTCAGTGCACGGATGAGGAGAAGGTAGGGTCTATCTAGCCTCCATTTTGTTTGAAAATACTTTAAACGTCAATAAGAAGTCGCGTCACCCGACATCGCTTAGAAAAAAAATCACATAGACTAATCTATTTATATGAATATAATGTGTAGTTTGTGGTGGTATATAATGAACATATAACATAACTGTGTAATAAACTTATTGGCTTGAAATAAATAGGGCTATCAGATGTGTGTAAATCACAACTTTGGTCAAAATAGGAAGGATGGCCAATTTTATTATTCCAAAACTGAAAAGACGTGGCTGGGTTTGTACATCTCTCAAAATATCACGGCACGCTAAGATTCAAATTACTTCCTGAACCAGTCAGGCTGAAGCAAGGCTTCGGACGCAATCAATGACGTCTTTTGTCTAAAGCGATACAAGCCTCGACACGCGTTTGCTCCGAAGCGTCGGCACAGAATGTAACGTCACTACCGAAAAGTATGTTGGTGAGATTAATTATATAAATGGTTGTTCAGATAGCCCACAAGCTTGTTGTTGAATAGTCATTTTTAGACCGTCCATCTTTTACCAATCAATTAGTTGAAAAGTCGGAAGACAATCCACCAACCAGTCGATTACTAGTCATCAGCTGACCTAGTCAACCAGTGAACATCCCTCCAACTAGTCTGTTTTGAAAATGTATAGTTTTGCACATCCCTCTTCAGATTGTCTCAGCAGTTTTTTCCTCTCCCAGCATAAGTGTGGACTGACGTCATGGCGTATTGTCCTTGTCCCTTAGTCTGCAGGATAAAACTGTCCTTGAAATCATTTTTTTTTCCTTTTTCTTTTCAGGTCTAAACGGAACGTGCAACAGCTCCAGTATTCCTGCATCTTCATCAGAGACAGACTATTTATTGTGAGCACCTCTTTGTACATTTTCAAGTTGGAACAGTCGTTTCACTTAACTTTTTTTTTTTAACAAACCTGACGCAAAAGCGGTGTTGTATAAATAAAAGAAAATGAAAATAACATTAAACTTTTATGACGTTCATAAAACTGATGTTTTGTTTTTTCCCGCTTGGTTTCCTAAACAGAAAATACACAGTGATAAGCTCGCAAGAGCAACGTCAGACTTACAAGATTGACTTCAACTCCGAGTACAGCGAGTACCGGGGCCTCCACTCACGGATAGAGGGCATCACCCGACAGTTCACTATACTCGACTCCGAGCTCAAACAACTCCAGCAAGGCACAGACAAGTACAAGGTATCTTTATTGAAAATCCCACACCAAACATGCAGTGCATCCATCCACACATTTGATTACAACTCCTTTTTTATTAATATGCTGTCAGCCCCAGTCTGATCCCAGCCCTACGTCTTCCTCCGGAAAATGAAAAATTAAAGAGGGTAGTTGACTCATCCAGGGTCCTACTGTAATTTTCACATCTTGATAAATTGGAAACAGTTACTGTTTTTCTTCTCCTTGCCTCTCCCAATCTAGTCTGGGAGAGTAATGAAATATACAACACAATCAACTGACTGATTAGAGGCAATCGTGAGCCGCGAGGCATCATTTATTCTCCTGCATGTAGTCATAATCCTTTAAAGAGTGCCGAAGTGATGATGTCACTTTAGCCCCTTTTCCACCAAAGCATTTTGAGAGCCGGTTCGGAGCCGGTGCCTGCGCGCGAACCAGTTCTTTGTGTTTCGACAGCCAAAGAACCGGTTCTCGGCCAGGAGAACTGGTTCCAAAGCAGCACCAACTCTTTGCTGGACTAGAATCGTTCTTTTACCACGTCATGCTTACGTCGGGGGCTGGGGGCGGGTTTAGATGTGTTCTAAACATCTTTTCTGACCATAATAAAGGATCGCAAAGGCAAGAGAAACATTTGCAGAAACACGGAGTCCACATTTGTAATTGTTATGCTTGAAGTTAACGCAAGCGTTTCTATTTTTGTATTTTTTTTTTATTAAAGACATTATAAGTAAAGAAGAAAACAGTCACAACATAGAACAAATAAATGGAAAGAAAAAAAGACACAAGACGGGGGTACATAACTTATCAGAAAAGATTACATATCAAACGAAAAGATTAAAAGACTTGCATATTTTAATTGTTTTTAAAGCGAAAGTAATGTTGTATTTGCAAGCGTTTCTAGCTAAGACGTATGGCGACGTACACAGTGACGTAACCACGTCGTTCCCTGGGCGCTCTAGTCAGTGGAAAAACAAATTCTGAAGCGGTTTGCAAGTTGAACCAACTCGGAACCAACTTTGAACCAGCACCAGTTCCGAACCAGTTCTTTTTTTGGTGGAAAAGGGGTATTTGTAGGACAACTTGGAAGTTAGCGGCGCATGAGTTCCCTTGAAAAGCTATGCATTTTACCATAGACTTTTGGAAAATCGCCAAAAATAAGATCTGTTAGACAAAACGTGTAAGTTTCACAACTCTTTGTTGATCAAGAGTTAATGTATACATTTTGAAGCCTATATAAAGTAAAAAAAAAAAAAAACACAACCAGGTTTTAACTGGTGTGTTTTATGTCATAGATCAAAACTTGAAAACATTTAGAGGCTTTAACCACAGACCTTATTTCAGGCGATTTAGCAAAAACACCCATAGACTTTAGGGCACCGCACCCGGAAGTGCTAAAATGCTAACTCACTTCCACGTTTTGGTCTACAAAGTGACGTCATAACTTCGGCACTCTATAGGGCTCAATAATGAAGTTATCCCGCTGGTTTGCGGCCAGTTTGACTTACAGGTCAGGTGACAACTGCCATTTGCATTATAGCTGTAAGCCTGTTACCAGTTTTGGCTAGGAAAATTAAGCAACATGGTTTGATAAAATGACAATGGCTGGAACAAGGGAGGTTCTGTATGTAGAGGTGGGGTTATTTGACCGCTACTACTTTGGTCAATCATAGTTTGTGCTATAAGCGCTAACAGGATTGCCCGCTAACTTGATTTGGTAAAAGAAGCTGATCATAGAGCTTCTCTTCAAACTCTTTTGTTTGTCTGATCTTGTTACACATTTGAAACTTCTGTATTCAAGCAGGAACATCATTGAAAATATCCGTTTCTCCTTTTCACAGACAATCCACAACCAGATACTTGAAGAGTATCGCAAAATCAAAAAGGTAAAACCGACAGTCTCTTCCACCTTTTTTGTTAAACAAAACAAACGTTTTTAAAGTAATCATCACGTTCTCTTCTTTTCTCACAGACTAATCCAAACTATAGCCAAGAGAAGAACCGCTGTGAATATCTACACAACAAACTGGCACATATTAAAAAACTGATAGCAGAATATGATCAACAGCAACTGCAAAACTGGCACTAATAACAATATTTTGTCTCATTGTTTTTTCTTTCTCCCTTGAGAAAAAGAAACAAACTCTGGATTTTTTTTTTTTTTTGTTATTGTTTTTCTTGGTTTTCTCTAATGTAAAATGCCACGAAACTGATTTATTTTTCCCCCCTCTGTAGTTGGCCAAGTGCTGCTCTAGTAAGGGCAATGCAGACCCATGAATTTCTTTAATGGGATGTGGGGCATACTCAGCCATGCTTACCTGTGTAGCCTAACGCATTATGGGATTGGTTACCAGCTCCCTTCCATTCTCGATTGTGTGAAAGGAAAAACTTACTTTGAAGCTGTTTTCCTGGCTTTGCGAACGAGGATAACCAACAGCCATTCCCAAATTCTAATAGTTTAAGGTTTATAAAAAGGATGAAAAAAAGTTTTAAGTGATTATTATTTTTCTGTAGGTACTAAAATGGAAGGTCCTAATGATAAACTATTTTATTTTCTTTTATATTTATTTTTTCCTCTTTTTTTTGGTCTTCCATAGGCATACATCAGTCCGATTATGATTTCACACTCAGATTGAGTGCTAAACATCTTGTCCCGTCCCTTTGGTCTGTATCTCCTTAATCAGTCAGTATTTTATGCAAAAGCTGCCTTGGATTTCAAGAGATCCCTATCGCAGTACACTTTCCCCAGTGTTTTAGTGTCTGAAACGGCACTATCTATCTGCAATGCGCTAGACCACGTGCAATGGACATGAATCAGATGCCTATCCGAGGAAGATCACCGTTTGTTTAGAGGCTTTGACAGAATCAGTATTAAGCGACGGCCAGGGTAGCGATTCGGCGTTGGCACTTTTTTTGCAATATTCCATGCTTTTGAATGAAAAATATTGCTTTATCTCAACCCTCATCATATTGATTCTTGAATCAGGTGTGGATGTAAAAGGTGCAGGCAAATCTTGCGAAATTGTGCCTCACGAGAGCCGTGCGTCGTCCCTCAGGTATCTAGAGTGATCCAGTATTGCTAGTTACAAGTGTGTCGGCAACATCACGTCTTTGGCCAAACTTGATGGTGATTGTATCCCTTTAACGTAGCCCTATGGTGTTTCCAATGGGCTGGTTGGTGAAGACAAAATGGCAGAAACGCAACCTTCGCTCACTGTCTGTCCCCTTTGCTTGAATACTGAGTATTTGTGGGGCGTTTGACCATTTCAGACCGTATTTTCATTACGAGATGACTGTTAAATTCCATTAAGGCATCTCATCGTGGAGGATCCACTACAGACGTGCTCCTCACATTACTGTGGCATCCGCCTCGTGGAAGCTCATCCACAAGTTGATCATCTGTCGGGTCCTGTTGAAGCATCAGTTGTACTTCTGATATCTGAACTCTTTTTATGTTTAAATATTAAAATTCAGCACTTTGCTCAGCTTCTTGCTGTTACTCTTACCTGGGTTTTGTTGCAAGGAGACACTTGCCTTGTCTGTCTATGTATGCATGCTTTCTGACTGTTGAAGACACACAAAAAAGGGTAAAGGCCGGCGTTTAGAGTGGCTTTACGCAGCTGTTTAATGTTCAAGAGCATTTGAAGCCAAATACTTCTCAAATTGCCCCGAATTATTTACCTGGCCAGCGTTAGTTTTTTTTTTTTAAGAGCGCAATTACAAGAATTCAAATTTGACTTCCGAATCGATTGTTCAAATGCAATTGAGAAATTTAAATAAACAATTCTCAAATCACAAATTTACCAGGTAAACCACAAATTTATTCCTGAGAATATTTTTTTTAATCACGGTCTTTTACGTTACCCGAAGAAACAGTCTGAAAATGCTGCAAGCGATTCAACGACAAATACGAATGACGTTTGTTTGGTTTGGAAACTGCTACGACTCTTCAAACGATGTCGAGACAACCGGGGGGAAATGTGCCAAATGACCTGTTGTATAGGTTTGCATCAGATGACATATGTTGCTGTTTTAGCAAAAGAGAAATGAAAAATAAAGGGAGTGGGAGGAGCTTTGGGACGAAGGCTTGCGATGTCAACGCTAAAACCCAAAGTGCGCTTTTTGAAATAACAAGGGACCGGGACTGAAATTTATCTTGGTATTTCAATAAAATTCTTGGAAAACTTGCTTTTTATTCTGAAGTGTTATTTTGTGTCCCCAAATTGTTTTTTGGTTTTTTTTTAGGGTGTGTTCAAGTCCTCTTGGGCAGTTCGTATTTACGAGTTGGGAAGTAGTTTACGTCGTTCAAGTCACGTTCTTTGGAGGAAGATGGAGGTGTCCCTTCTCTTAATGAACTACCCAAAAATACAGCAGGGTTTTTGAATTCTAATTCTACAAACAAGGAACTCCCGCACACTATCAGTACTTGCAAGTCATATAAAAATGTTTTATTGGCTACGTTTCGGTCTCACGACCTTCATCGGGAGTTCCTTATTTGCAGATTTGTCGACCTACCTATTTGGTCGCCTTTTTCTACACCCCTATCACCTGCAGGTGTGCGATGTTGTTTGTTAATTGATTAAACTAGTTCTTGAAAATGAAGAACAATAATGTTTTGCTTTTTTTTATGGGGCCACTCAAAACTGTTACATATGGTATTGTATTAAATATTTAATAATTTTAAACGCACATCATCTAGCTAATCAAATCCCTCAGATTGTTTAAAAACTATGGGTGTTGGAGCAGGGCTGTGGTGGCCCTCCAGGAAGGTGGGTATATACCCAAGGTCATATTTGTATATTGACAAATCAATAAAATATTTACCATCTTGGCATCTTATGTTCTTCGCAACTAAAGTTTTTGTCAATGCTGATTATAAGTCACAAGAAAGTCTTGGGGGGGATGTTTGAATAATGTCAGACGAATCCAGTTTTCCTTTTGATAGATGGATAGACTGCATGACAGTTCTCCAGATAACTTTAAAAGTTTCTACAAAATATATAGAAACAACCAGGGAATCCAGTCCAGCACACATCGTTTCCAAACAGCCTAAAGTTATAATTGTATGGCAGTAATTCCATAATGATCTACATACATTTACTGTAAACCTGTATAGTGTTCAGCAGATAAAACGAAACAGGCTGCTTTGTGTTTCCCAGTCGTCGAATTCAGGCACATATGGAAACCTGATTCCTTTCCACATAATGGACCACTGGTTCTTTGGTGTATTGTAAGGATTACTGTGTCGAGTTCAATTCCCTTTAATTTAAGATGATAGTCGTTTGTTTTGCCAGTCATGTTGCAGAAAGTTTGCCACACTCAGTCCGGCTGAGGGGGCGTGTTACGGGGGTTAAGTGACATCATCGCGCACCCACTGACACGCCTCCAACCGTCTCCCACCCGTCTATGTTGTAAATACGATTTTGCCAACATCCATTAAAGGGATAGTTCATCCTAAAATTTTAATTATTTCATATACTCACCCTCAAGTTGTTCCAAACCCGTATGAGATTCTTCTGTAAAACAAAATCTTTAGAAGAATGTTGGTAATCAGAATCAGGAAAAAAAAAAAAAAATACTATGGAAGTCAATGGCTACCATTTACTTTGTGGTTACCATCATTCTTCTAAATATCATCATTTGTGTTCAACAGAAGAAAGAAACTTTGGAACAACATGAGGACAAGTAAATGATGACAGAATTTTCGTGTTGTCTCTTTAAAATTAGCCTCAAATGCTCGTTCTGTTGTTAACTAATGAATAGACCGTTCAGTCAATAGCCACTAGATGGCAGCACGGGTTTTGTTTTTTAAAACAAATTTTTGTAGTGCCTTTATTTACCCTACGTTATTTACAGCTACTAGGTCAGTTTATCAGCGTAAATATGATTCTATATCTGTTTGGAAATAGGTCTTAAATATCACAACGTGTACTGCATTTATTCTGGCGCCTTATTTGGCACTCAACCCTCTGGTTCTTTATAAACACTGTCCTACTAAACTCTGAGAGTGCAAGTTTGGGTGTATACTATAAGGGAAATATCGTGTGAGATCCTCAGCTGCCTTCATGGTGTTATGTTGGCCTCAATTTTAGGAGAGCTCGAGAGTCAGTGAGTTCAGTTTGGCACTGCGCCACCCTCTCGTTCATGGCTTATTTGGGTCTCTCCCTGCCTGTCCTCGTTCATCCCGTTACAACACACCAAACCCCCTGACATTTGGAAGACGCCCTCAAGATTTAAGACTTTCCTTCCTGTTTGCTTAGGCCCACAAATTGCACTCTAATTGTCCACATTTACATTTCCCTCAAGATTGTGGGAATGTATTTTTTACTATAGATTCGGGTCCATGTTTGGGATGGGTTTGCTATTCATACACAAGCTGTTTGTCACTGTTGAAAAACAATTTTTACAGTATTATGATGTATTACACATGTTTTTGCCTTGTATCTTTAAAATACTTTAATATGCCTTTGATTCATTTTAAGAAATCCACAATCTAAAGCAGAAATGTATATTTAATAAAAGTAGGCTAATAATAACAACAGGTTAGGAGTGGGTGATATGGCAAAAATGTCATATCACGAATCACAAGATTTTATCACGATTCTTTTTCATGCTGGTTTTATTTCGCAAATGACTGGGCATTACAATGTCCAAACTAATGTCCCTATTTAAAAAAAAATAAAAAAAATCCTCACAAACAAAATAAAAAAGAATGGCAGAGATTTAGGCCAAAGAGGCGAAGATAAAAAACGCTTTGAGTGACCCAGAAAAAGCGCTATATAAATGTAACAAATTATTATTATTAAAAATATGTCATTTTCTTTATTAAAAGATACACATTACAAATACACAACATATTATATACAAATGAATTAAACTGCTTTATTTTTTTTTCAGCTCGAGTAGACCATATTTAGGAGAAGCAGTCGAGAAAGAAATTAAATCTGAGACACTACATAGATATCAATATACACTGATTTTAAAAGATATATACTGTATAAATTATACACTGATGCCTAAGTTCTCAGAGCAGGGAGTGATTTTTCTCTTATTTTTTTGTTTTAGAAATTAATACAGGTTTGTTTGGAACAACAGAGTGAGTCAATTCAATTCACATTTATTTGAATTTTTTTTTTTATATTAAAATAATTGTCTCCAACAAAGTAAGCCAAAAGCCACTGGCAAAAGGTGAAAGAAGGCAAAAAGGTGGCCAGTCGGGTGGCCCAGTTCTCGTCTGGCCACAAACCAACAGTGTATGATTCAGCCAGCATTATAGGTCAGATTGGATTGGACATTCAGAATATTATCCAGTTCCATCGTTGAGAATCGGAGTCATAGTGCCGGTATGGAGACAGGTTTGAGGATCAGTGCCGATGGCTGTCGTGTCGATAAGGCCAGTACCAAATAAGACTTGAAAGATACTGTAACTGATAGAATACACTGTAGCAGGCTACTACGATATTTCTTCAAAAGCAGACCATGGAGACGTTTTAAGCGTCCACAATCAAAAATCTGATATCGTAAATCAAGTCACATTAGTTAGCAGAAACTTTTCATTTTCTTTTAATTTGAAGTTTTTTTTTTGTAGTTTTGGTTACACTAGAACAACAAAGTAGTGAATGATTTTAGTTTAATGTAGATTTATCCGTGCTGGTCACTCCAAATTTTGATCCGACAGGTAATAGATCAAGCAATATCAAATAAACGAAGCCAAATCATGACCCAAAACATGTCAGAACTGTATGTCATCTCACACATTTACTTTAAAATTTGTTTAACATTTTGACACCCAAGACATTAAGACCAGCATTTGATCCCAAATATTTTCTTAACATCCAGGCCTTAACACTACACGTAGCCTATAAAGGGGAGGGGAGGGGATAGTAATGTTGAATTAGGCCTACTTTATCACTTTGTCTCTGTTCTCAAATCTTAACAAAAAATAATAAAAAAGATTACTAAAAAGATCGCTAAATATTAGTTTAACATCACCTTCACACTACATTTGAAAGTAAGGGCCCTGCAAATTTATCCCTGGTGGTGAACATGATGAATTCTTTGCTTTCGGCACATGCACTGCGGGGAATGGTACGTTCCGCCCAGTCAACGGTTATTGGCACCGGCATCCTGATTCAAACTGCCCGGTTTATTGTTGATCCGTGCCATCGTTACTCAGCCAATGTGAGTGAGTTGTCGAGGAGAAATCCCCGCCGTTTGTGTGTCAGAGAACAGACGCCTCGCCCCTCTAGTTTTATACATACCGATTTCACTCTCCCTTTCTTTTCGGTTTTGTTGGTACGATCTGTGGGCTACAATCGCACGCGCGAATTGTTCATGTCAGTCGGATCTTTTCAATAAATCATTTGAGCCGATTCCTAAAACCGATGTGAGCGATTTGTTACCAGATTTGCTGTTCAGGAAACATTTAATGAAATAATTTCCCTATGATATGTAGGCTAAATGCATATGGGACACAAATGACTATTTGAGGACGCAAAATACTCGTTTGAAATTATTCCTTGAAAAGAACTGTTCGAAAGAACCGATTCGCAGAAATGAATCGGACTTCCACACATACACACTTGGGCGCATTTTTTTCATTCGTGAGCCGGTCAAGATGGCGGCGGTACTGCCGAGACTGAGCAGCCGCTCGGCTTAATCGATCATTTTCTCTAAATCACCGGGGCAGATCGGATCCAAATCGACCAAATCTTGCGGCGCAACTTTGTGAAATCACCCCCACCCTGCGATATTCAACGTGAGATCCTATCGCGTTAAACCGGCTATTTTTTCACGGAAAATGCTCTTGCTCTAGCTTGTGTCTCGTCCATTAGCTTTACTGGGGAGAATGGGAGAAAAGCTGGAGTTAAAACTGAAGTCGCCGGTCGGAGCCGAAGCTGCAGGCTACCCGTGGCCCTTGCCTGTATATGTAAGTACTCTCAGTTTTGTTGTTTTAATATAAACCCAAACCAACACCGGGATTCCCTGCCTTGCTATCAGGCGAAGTGGGTCATTTAGCTAGAGAACAGCGTGCATCAAAACGTGTAACCTACAGTGTGCAAATGTTCTCATTGTTGTTTTAGCTTGTTTGCGTGCTTGTTTCAGTAAGTTACTAGTGTTTTAACAACCGCTACAACTGGGATACGAGAGTGTCAATACATCCTAAAGTGTTGGATACCCGTAAGCATTTGTGTATAACGTTATATTCATAAGGTGCTCAGAAGGTCACTAAACACTTAGACCTAAAATGACACAGCCTGTTGTGTTTTAAAAAGACTAAATATATTATAACCTCGAATAAAATATTATTTGAATCGTTGGAAACACACACTGAGTGTGTGTAGCCTGCTGACCTAGTTGGCCATCTCATACAGTGGTTGCGTCTTAAATTCTAGTGAGCTGTCTACCTAGGCAGCATGTTTATACTTATATGGCGGATTAAATGTGTTTTAAACGTTAATATATTGTTCGAATCGTTTAAATTTACAACATATATATATATATATATTTATTTATTTAAAATATTATGTCAGGGACTCTTTCTAGTGGTTATATTTTGTATGCCAGTTAGTTGATCTATTCATAACACCCTTAAACAAACTCACTTCACATCGAATCATTGACTCAAGTCACTTTTAAACAAATACGAAACAAATAAGTTAGTTTATTAAAAACAAAATGACTCCTTGAAGGGGGCGTATTCATTTAGTTGGTCAAACCAATTGAATGCGGAGTGACACCTCGCACTCGAATTCTATTGGTTCGTGCTGTTGTCAGTCTTTGAAGGAAAGAAAGCAGTGAATACTATGCTCACTAAGTAGGCAGCTCATTAGAGTTTGAGACGGAGTCCAAACGAAAACCTGCCATACCAGAGAGTGTGTATGACACGTTATTCACGAACAAATTGTTTTAACTTGCAGTATTGCACATTTTAAGCCTAAAACGACGGTTTGTATGACAATGTATTCAACGAATGTTTATAGAGACTGGAGTTCACGCTAGCCATCATGCTAACAGTCTGATAGCAGGGCTAGCTAACTTTATCGCTTTTTAGCCAACACCAATAGTCGTAAAACTCTAGATAAGGTAAACCGTACAAATATGTCTCAGAAGTGTGTGTAGATATCTGAAGTGGATATATTAGGGTGTGAGATGCTTCGTACCGGCTAAATATCGCACGAAGGGTGTTAAACAAAAGGCGAGTAGTGCACTCAGGCGAGAGGACAGCATCTCCTTGTGTTTTTTTATTGACAATTTGCTTTGATTTGTGTCCTGTAACGTATCTTACAGTTTAGATGTTCTAGTATGGTTTTTATATAACACATTTGCTCAGGAACTGTCAGATTTGTCACTGGCGGCTTAAAATGCGGGTGCTCATTTGGCAGCCCTTTATTTTGGTTACCATCTGTATACACATTGAAAGGGGCAAAGTGTCATAACCAAACCCATATGACTGACATTTCTTGAAAAACAAGGTAGTATGCAAGATTATTTGGGAAGTTTGTCAATAACTGACTTTTTAGTGGTTGCTGGGTTGTAAAACTTGCTGGACTTGAATATTGACGTTTTAAGGTAGATGTTCCAGCATATTTACATTATTATTGAAGCTTGCCTGCTAATTATTATTATTATTATTATGGCTCAGAGGATTAGATATCCTAACACAGGGGGTTTCACCTGAAGATAAAGCTGAAATAAAACTGTATATTGGCATTGAAGCAGGGGTGCAAGTATACAGAGGTGCGTATCATAGAGAAATGGTGGTGGTGACTCTTAATATGCTTTGAACTGCATAGCAACGCCCTGGTAACCATCCAAAACACCCTAGCATACTGACGGCATTTTTCTTTTGAAAATGTAGTTTTCTAGTTTCCGTGACTGTTGTTCCCTTAAAGACATCAAAAAAGTCTTGTTCACATCATCCATTCTGAGTCAGCCACCATTTTTCTTTCTGTTGTTTCTGAAAGCATTACAGTCATTCCACATGTACAGTAATCATAACACTCAGATTCCACGGCGTGATTAACCCCCCATAAAACACACATGCACTGTATTTACCTTGTTATAGAATAAAGTAGCTTAAAATTTAGGGCAGAGACAAGCGTATTTGTTTCAATAGCCTATTTATTACAAGAACGTGTTCGGAAAGACTTTTCTCACGCCATCAAGGTTGTCAACGCAATTTCAGTCTTAGGCGGAAATGGGGGGCAGATCAAAAGGCTGTGGTTTCCACAGAAACAGCTGTCTCATTTGTCCCTCCCGTCAGTTAATACTATGATTCATGCTCATTTTACTCAAACTGAGAATGTGGGAAGTGCAGGTTATTTTTGTCACTAAAACTCCAGTCTCTGTCATTAGTGTGTCCTTTCTAGTAGTGTGGTAGTAGTTGTGACCTCAGCAGTTTTACTGTCTCACTAGGCCTCAGATGACTTCCGTCTTTGACTTTGGCTGATATGGGATGGATGCCCCACCTACTGAGAGCCATATTTCTGCCCTGCTGTTGGGTAAACAGAATTGCAGATTGCCCACGATTGGCAAGCTTGCAGATATGCCTTGCAAATAGTTTTTTAGGGAGGTGTGTATTCTGTTAATTAGGGAGTCTGGGTGGTGGTTATCCACATGCACTGTTGATTTAGAAAAAATTCACCCAAAAATGTTTGTCGTCGTCATTTATTCCATCCTGTGTCGTTCCAAACTCGTATTGCTTTTTTTTTTCTTGTGAGGAACACAAAAGGAGATGTTTGGCAGAATGTTCACGCTGCTTTCACAGTGAAATTGAATGCAGAGTTATGTAAAGCTCCAAGAAAAGTGCTGCCCCATAGGGATGTCATGGTGTATAAAAGGCCCTGTTTAGGCCTAGTATCAAGATTCATTTTAGTCGATCGGATCACAAGTGCACATTGCTAAATTCAGGCGTAAATGCAGTCTAAAGGCCTGTTCATACCTGGACGAATTTTGCGTGCATTATTCGCCGACGTTTAACACCTCATGACTAAACAAAGGGCGCCAATGTGAGTGTGCACACCGACGTGTAAACCGCCACGCGTAAATGTGTAATTTTTTAAAAAAAACACCTCGGGTTCTTTTTTTTAGTTTGACGCGCCACGTCAAAAACTATCCGACCAATGAGATTGGCACTTTTGCTCACGTGTGTGGAGCTTCTGAAGTTACAGTAAAACACAACTTGGGGGCGCTCAAACACAAAACGGTCTTGCCGAGCACATATCTGCAATGGTGAAGAAGATTTACGGCAAGTAGCGTCGCCGTCTACACAGCCAGGAAGAAATAAGACGAGGAAGACTGCTGTTCTCGTTGGTGCTAGAACATAAAGAACTATATGACAAACGCGACTATAGGGACTACAAACATCTTGATAAAAGAAAACTGATACAGAGTGGTATTGCAGAGCAAATTGGCGCCATCTAATGTCAGGGAGTGAATTTGCATGTTCACTTGGCTCTTCATCAGTAAAAATCGCTTGGGTGTGAACACAAAAAACGCTTTGAAAAATGCTAACGAATAACGCGCGCTGATATTCGTCCCGGTGTGTCTTGGGAGAATGAACCCTTTAAGACATGGAAAAAGAAGGGATATGTGAGTTTTCTTGTGACATTTTCAAGAAATATTTCAGGATTTTATTTGACGTGACAGTGTTTTTCAAAGGCTGAAATACCCTTGTTTTTCAGAGACTCGGCTTAGTGATTTTAGGTTTTTTTCCCTTCTCTCCTTCGTCCACTCGCGTGCTATTTTGCCTCACGGCTTCACATTGTGCTCCGAACAAAAGCATCCCACTCACCTGGGGTGAGAGGAAGGAGGTGTTTTATCGAACACTGAGCGTCACTGTTTTCTTTCTTTCTTGCGCTCCCGAAACCTTCGTTCACGGCCACATTTACATCCCATATTTGAAAACTTAAATCAGCTATATTTGCTTCCATATCAAGTTCCTTGAACTTGGAGACACAATGATTTGTTGAGAAAATGAGAAAATAATAATTGCACACTCCTCACAGTTTGAACGTTACAATCTGGTTAAACAAGTCAGTGTGTGTGTCCGCACCGAGGTGTGGTGATCTGCCGTCCCAGCCAAAAAGAACAGTTGTGCTGTGAGGTAATCGCGGTTCACGAGGCGTGATTTCCTGGCGTGAGTCACATCAAGTGTGCGTGAGGTGAGCGAAGAGTCCGATTTTGTGCTCATCATGAGTCAAGCCTGCTTGTAACAGAGGGCTGTTGGCTTTTATTTCTTGCTCTCTGTCTTCCTCCCCTCCTTTCCTCTGGATATTTTTAGCTGCGGCTCTGGTGTTGCTGTGCGCCGGAACACCCCATACACGCGCTGTCCCCTCCCTCCTCGTGCAGCACGATGAGCTGAACTGAAGTGTCTGCTTGTGCACATACACACTCTGCCATCTGTCTTAGCATTTGCATTTAACGCAGTATTGAAATAACGCATATCATCCGTATCCTGCTTTAAATAAGTGCCCTTGTTCGCCTCAGACTGTGGCTGCATTATTTCCCAATGCCGTCACGCCACCTCGGAGCTGCAGGGGTGGGCGGAAAAGCACGAGATCCGCCATACTTGCAGCCAAGCGGGAAAACGGCTCCCTGCTGGATGAGGAGGAGCCTAGTGAGGCAACGGAGCCCAGCAGCGGCACACTCCGGCAGGCAGAGGGTTTCTCAGGACTCTGTTGACGGAAAGTGGGTCACTGGGTCAGGAAGCAGCAGAGCTCCAGAGGATGGGTCACATCCACATTTTAGACACAATCCTGGGTTAATTGGCATCAAAACTGATTCATTATGACCTTGGAGCTCTGTAAAGGCCAGAATTACATGTATTTAAGTACGGCACAGTCATGTGTGATGGCTTCCAGGCCTTGTTTATGTTTAACATACCAATTTTGGTAATTGATATAAAGCTAAATTAGAATATAAATATGAGAACCGTTGCAACTAACTGAAATCGTACTAAAACTGAAAAAGGAAAATGTAAATATAAAAATGATAAAAGCACATAAAATGAATGAATCCATATAAATGCTGTTTGGCATCAGTTTCATGAACTTGGCTGTGAATGAGGAATTATAATTCCCAACATATCCGTTTTGGACACAATTGAAATGAAACTGGACATATAAGCTCAAATTCAAGTAGTAGATAAATAATACTTAACACTTGGTGAATAAGGCCCATTTTGTTTTTCTCACAAACTTTGTGCTGAGATCTAGATCTTGCTTTGCATTCATGGACCGCAACATACGTGATCTGTGACGCCGGCTTGGTGACATAATGTACTTATCTGGGCATGTGCGCCCGATGAACTTGTTTAGCTGCTTGACACACTGGCTGCTGTGTGTGCAGGAATGTGCTACAGTTGTGATCCGTGACCCTGCCTAAACTGGAAAGGTCATGTTTTTGTTGTAGTTGTAGAAACTTGTTCCTTGTAGATGGATAACTACCCCTTTTCCAAATATGTAGTAGTCTAGCGAGTAAGTAAACGGTAATTTGAACCTTGTTTATATCTCAGCATTTCTTTCCTTTTGCCCCAGGATAAACATCATGATGCTGCACATGAAATCATCGAGACCATACGGTAAGTCTGTAATGGGTATTATGGTTTGATTTTGCACTTGTATTTGACTGCACTGTAAGAGGTGTATTGTCAATAAAACAGTAATAATCAGTTTAGTAAAACCTAACATGTCTCTTCTCTTCGTCCAGCTGGGTGTGTGAAGAGATCCCAGATCTCAAACTCGCCATGGAGAACTACGTACTTATCGACTACGACACCAAGAGGTGAGGAAATTGTCACAAAATGCTCTCATAAACAGGGCTTGACTAACTTTTTTGCTCACCAGCCACTGTGGCTAGTGGTTCTCCAAAGTTAGGGCTCCAGACTAACTTTTCCACTGGTTGAACTGGTGCTACCAATTTTTTCAGTTGCTCGGAGCTACTTCTCTCCATTAATGTCTATGGCGAGTCACGTTGGGACTAGGCAACTCCGCATCCGAGTCGACCCCGGGATAAAACAGTCCGAATATAAACACTTATTATAGGTCGTAGTTAGGGATGCACCGATCCACATTTTTTCACTTCCGATCCGATCCCGATACCCGACTTTGGATATCGGCCGATACCGATACTTTTCCGATACCAGAGCTGTGTTTGCTTTAATATTATTTATCATTATTGTTGATTTTATATGATGTTGAAATAAACTCCTCTCTACAGGCAAGGATGATATGTGCGTATGTATGTCAGTATATATATATTAAACAATAGATAGACAATTAAACAAAGATACACATTATACAGGCCTACACAGTGCTTTAATTTCAGGAAGGTCTACTAACATTATTCAGGTATGGTCTTAAAAAGAATTATAATAAAGTAATCAAAAGTAAAATAGCACTGCAAAGCTTACCATAGATAGATTTATGCTTATTAGAGCTGAAGTAATTCATTCAAGAGCTGTGAGTGATTTTCTCTTTGCCTTTTGTTGTTTGACTCGCAGTAATGTCGCAATCGTCACATTTATACTGCTGCCCCTTAAAGAACGAGTTCAGATTTCATATCTACTGATGCACCATATTTTCTCCCAACTACTTCCATAACTACGTTCATTTTAGACATAAACGGTTTAAGTCTCCAAGCCGGTCGGTTTGACATTTTTCTTGTGCAGGCTACATTTGATCGTTTAGACGCGCATATGAAGCCCAGATTATAATTTGCTTGTCTTGTTGCGGTCTGTTTCGGAGCGCGCGCGCATTGGGAACAGCATTTCTTGCGCAAATTTTGTGCTTTTAATAGCTCTCTTTATTATTAAAAGTGTCCCGCAATTTAGCAACAGCAGAGCCTGCATTTTACAACAATCACAGATCGTGCTGATTCTGTCTGAAAGTTTTAGTATTAAGGAGAAATGACAGTGCACCGCCGCGATGGGAAGAAAGTTGGCTAGACAGAATGCGGCTATTGTTTTTAATGGTTTTTTACCTCAATATATTCTTTAATCTTTGGAAATCAGACTAATATCATAGATATAACCAGGCTACGTTTCCTCTGTCGTCACTCATTAAGCAGGGCTGTCGTGTTGTGCGTGCTGTGGGACTGCGTGAGAGATCTCTCTCTTTCTCTTCTGGACTGCGAATTGCAAACATGCATCACAGACAAATAGTTTAATTAATACGGCTTTGCAAACATTGCATTTTGCGGTCTTGCTCTGCTGCGGTGTTTCCAGTGTGAAGTATTTCCACACAGCGAACATGTTGTAGCTCAATCCTATCCTGCTAGCTGGCTGCAAACTGCGGAATGGATTTCCTGAGTGGGGGTCTGTGTGTCTCATTGAGCCCTATTTTTTACAGTCTATGATTGAGCTGCACCTCCGTTCAGAATATCCATTCCACAGTTTGCAGCCAGCTAGCAGACTAGCATGCCCGGGGAATCCCTTTTGCAGTCATTTCAGCAGACAACGTTAAAGCGCAGACATTGATCATAAATATCGGATTTCTCCGCAGGTTGGATCGGAAAAATCCGATACGTGAATTACGCTGGTATCGGTCCCGATACCGATACTGGATCGGATCGGCCCCATCCCTAGTCGTAGTAGCGCTGTCAAACGATTAATCGCATCCAAAATAAAAGTTTGTTTACATAATATATGTGGGTGCACTGTGTATAATTATTTATATATATATATATATATATATATATATATACAGGGCCTGAAATTAACACCCGACCACCTGCCAAATGCGGGTGAATTTTTCTATTGGCGGGTAACACTGTCAATCTACCTGCCACATTGGCAGGTAGGTAGCCAATGAGAATTGAGTGATTCATTAGGATTTTTACATTTCAACTAAGTCCGCCATTGCGTTTGACTTTAACTAAAATGTGGCGGCACATTACTGAGGTAAAGAGGCCAGCTGAAACAAACAGCCAACAAAACGATGAGGATGAGAAAAAGAAAAGTAAAAGAAGACATTTTAATATAAAGTGGACAATTGGCGGCAATGGCAAGGTTCGTGAGCGGCTGATTTATGACAGCGCCAGCGACTGTTGTTTCGTAACGTTCATGCGATCAGAAGAAGATGAGGCCCTTTTCTGACTACGTTTTGATGTGCGAGTATTAAACTGTTGGCGAGATGGGATGAGATAATGTAACGCTGACGTAGGCTACAGTACAATGACAGTTGCACAGATGTGTGTGCGTGTGCAACTGTGCATGTTGGGAGTTGGGAACCAGTGAGAAAATATCCGGTACCCGGTAACTTTACCAGTAATAACAATATTAATTGAGTTCATAGTTCCTGAATGCTGTAACTAAAGCTGTCAGGATCTGTCTACGTGACTAAATCAGCCATCAACACAGCCGCGTGTGATTTGTTTACTTACGAGCTGCGGTAGGCTATGTCTATCTGTTGAGTATATACTATAGTATAGCCTGTATATATGTTGTGTGAGTGTCAAAATCAATGAACAAAAAATTTTTTTTTAAATGTATGTTCTTAGAGTTATTATTATTATTACTTGACAGCACTTAAATGTGTATTCTTACAAGTGAAAGAACAATATTGTGAAATTCCCGGGTTTTTTTTTTTTTTTTTTAAAGGAATTTCACAATATTGTTCTTTTTACGAGCCATTTTTTGGCTGAGGCAAAATATGAGGCAAAAAAAGAAAAAGAAAAAAAGTGGCTGGTAAAAAGTCTCTGTGGCAGGTGAATTTTTAAATCCACCTGTCCCAGTGGCCGGTGGTCGAAAAAGTTAATTTCAGGCCCTGTATATATATATATATAAAAATACACACACCGTTCATTTTGAACATAAGTTACGGACTGCAGCAGCTGATTCAACTGCGTTCTGTTGCGAGAGCGTCCACTCGCACTTATGCGACCACATACAATTTTAATTCCCACATTCTCAAAAAATTGTCGCAGTCTGGAACCCTGCAAAGTTACTAGGCACTCCGCGTTTTCACTGGCCACCATTTTGACATTGATTCCATTGGGGAAAACTGCCATAGATATATCTATCTTTAATATTATCTCATAATTTGGCAGCTGGTAAATTAGGCTGGTGTCACTTTAAGATACTAGTTTTACGAAAGTAGATATTCTGTGAAGTTTGTCATTTCATATTACAATTTTGTTTTTCTTGCAGCTTTGAGAGTATGCAGAGACTGTGTGATAAGTACAACAGAGCCATTGACAGCATTCACCAACTGGTACGTCAAGTCTGTTTTGCACACAACAGATGATTTTTGCCTCGAACAAAATGTTAAACTGTGTTTGTGTGTTGCAGTGGAAAGGGACCACCCAACCCATGAAACTGAACAAGCGGCCTTCTAACGGCCTGCTGCGTCACATCCTGCAGCAGGTGTACAACCACTCCGTCACCGACCCGGAGAAACTCAACAACTACGAGCCATTCTCTCCCGAGGTGTACGGAGAGACCTCCTTCGACCTTGTGGCCCAGATCATTGACGAGATGGAGATGATGGAAGACGACACCTTTGTGGATTTGGGCTCTGGTCAGTAATGTCTGTTATTGAGGGTCTATTCGATGGGGACCCGAAAGTACAAGTGAACATTGCAAATCTGAAAACGCAACTTCAAAATTTATTTCAATAAATAGGCCTTTAGTAGCAGCTTAAGATTGAATGTCCAATAAAAACGCATTGTAAGCTATAAAATCGGAAAACTGAGCTGTGAATTAAAAAACGCAACAGTAAACGGCTAGGTAAAAAAATATAGATTTCTCGATTTGAATCAATTCTCATTTTCATGAACCCACATTCTCTGTGCTGTTTTCATTTGGTGAATGAATAGAGCTCCCATCCAATAAATCGCAAGTTTTGTGCTTTGTTGCTTTTGATATGAAACCAAGTCTCAGCTTTCAAATTCTTGTCAATTTATTAAGAAATGCTAACAATAAATACCGCTTTGGCGTTCAAGGTGTCGTGACCATATACTGTAAAAAAATGGACAAAGCGTCTGTGATGTCACTCATAGACTTTCTGAAAAATGGTTTTGAGGCCGTGTATGGGTGATGCTATCTTTTGAAAATCTTGGGAAATCCTAACCCCTCCCACCTTCTGGCCAATCCATATATGGTAAAAGGGCGGGCTTTGTGTGAGACTGAGCCAGCCGGTGGACGCTCCTCTTCAGCCAAGCATCCTCAGCTATCTGTAAAGTTATAAAATCGACTGGCGGACTAGGCTACTTTTTACAGTTTATGGCTACTACTTTCACTGCAAAGCTGCTGAAGAGTACAACCCATCAAAATATATTAACACTTCAATGTGGGACATATCAGTCTATTCTTATGTTATATTTATTCATTTGACAGACGCATAAGTGTTTCAAACGTCGGTTATAGCCATAGGTAAAGTACCTCAGACGCTAACTTATCTGAGGCGATTTAATGCTAACTGTTGCAGTGCCACTGTCCACAAACATTGATACTAAATAGTGCTGCGTGAAATAGTAGTGGAATGTCAGAACAATTCAAATGTTCAGAAGGGAAACAGAGGTGGTATGATGTGTTGTCAGATCATGGCCGAGACATCAAATTCTACTCGGTGCAGCCCTTTATCAGCTGTCAATCAAGCTGTCAATCAAAGTTAACCACGCCCTTATTTGTCATACATTTTATATCTCAATACAATCTTATAAACTAACGAGTTAGAAAAAATTCACCCACCTCATATCGAAAAATACAATGAAAGTCCATGGGGCCAACCTGTAAAAACATGAATTTACGCTGTGAAAACGGACATTTTAACATTGGGTCCCTTTTGGGACTTGCACCTAGTGGATTTTCGATGTATTGCAGTTTTTCGCACTTCCGGGTAGGCTTGGTCGTGACGGATCTCATCCACTTTACTATTTACAGCACCAAATGAACACAAATGAATGAACATCAGAAGGTATATTGAAAGATACAGTGTCATACGGGAATTATTATAACATTATCGCTGCGGAAAGACGTCGATAAAACAGCTTGTTAATGTCACGACAGCTCACAACAGCGAATTCACTACTAAATTGGTAAAAAACGGGCCTTGAGTAGCAGTTTTAGGTTGTAATTCCAATAATGTCCAGTTGTTCTATTATACATGACATGCAGTGTTGTTGCTTGAATTACAGGGGTTGGTCAGGTAGTCCTGCAGGTCGCTGCAGCCACCAACTGTAAACACTACTTTGGCGTGGAGAAAGCAGACACTCCAGCAACCTATGCAGAGGTACCAACAGGAAGCCGAAACTTAAACGTTCCTTATACCTGACGTTTTGAGTTTGACTCAAAATGGATTTTCCCCTAATATTTGTATCTGAATGTGTTTACAGTCAATGGATAAAGAATTTAAGAGGTGGATGAAGTGGTATGGCAAAAAACATGGCGAGTACACGGTGAGTGTGTGTTCTAGTGATGCGCCAAAATGATCCCTAGTGTGTTTGTTTATTAAAACATATGTTATTACTTGTTAAAACTTCAGTATTTTGACTGCAGTGAAATTTGTGCATACTTTGTCATCTGGTCTTGTGTGGCAGTTGGAAAGGGGAGATTTCCTGTCAGAAGAATGGAAGGAACGAATAGCCAGCACAAGGTATGATCACATACAGACTAATTAAATGCTTATAATAAGGAGCATTTTTCCAAGTAATGTTAGTTTTTTTGGAAATGTTACACTTTCATCATTAATTCTTCATAATTCAGAACCGTTTGCATGTTGTACATAACGTCTTGTGTAAGGATGTAGTGTGATGTGCTCTTTTGCAGTGTTATTTTTGTGAATAACTTTGCCTTTGGTCCTGAGGTGGACCACCAGCTGAAGGAACGATTCGCCAACATGAAGGAAGGTTTGTGGTGTCGTTGTTGTGGTCTTGTTAAAAAAAGACTAAATAATGAATAGGGCTGCACAGCTAATCAAATCTAATTAATAGTTTAGCCTGAGCGCTGCTGTTTCCATCTGATTTTATATGTGAGAAATCATGTTAAATGTTTCCTATTGCTATTCAAATTGGTATTGAAATCATTGCATTTGATGCAGTCCTAACTTGAAGTAAACTGCACAGCTGCTTACATTTGAAAAAGAAAGGGTCTCTGTGTCAGAGTAGCTCAAAGGCACCTGTGTCAACATGTCATGCTTGACCTTTGACCTTTAGTTTGCATTGACTTACAGATGTCAAGGAGTTGAATATGTGCTCAGATTTTCTCCTGTTACCTGGCTGAATTTCAGTCTCGTTTCTTGCAGGTGGAAAAATTGTATCCTCAAAACCTTTTGCACCTCTTAACTTCAGAATAAACAGCCGAAACTTAAGTGGTGAGTATAAAAGTTTGTACAACAGGAGTCCACTACAAAAAGATGGTACCATGGTAAAACATAAGAAAGAGAGAGAGAAAAAAGACATGATATTACTATCATGGTAGTGTTTTTTACTTTAAAAATATTTAAAGTCTTTGGTGGTTATTCTCTGATATGTTTTTATAAGTGTTAGGCCGTGTGTCCACCAAAGCGTTTTTAGCCAGCTGAAAGCGCCTAGCTGTGGGCGCTTGAGCACTTTGGCAGCGCAGCGTTTTTTCTGTTGAGACGTTTCGTTGCTGTGATGTAGAATATCCGCAGCACAGTTTCCTTGTAACTGATTTCGCAAATTGTTTCATACTAAAAATGTATTTTTCATCCATTTTGTTCGGTTAGCTCTGCCAGTTGATGTCGTTGTACAGAAAGAATGTTGTGACAGTTGGTCGGTGTGGTATTAGTCCCGCCCCTCCTCCACTGTGATTGGACGGCTAGGTAAAAAGTGACAGTGTCGAGTGCTGCGTTTTATCCAAAGTTGAACATTTTTCAACTGTCGGTGACCAGTAAAAACGCCGAACGCTTTGGCGCTCTAAAACGTTCAGCCCTTCGTTACGCTCATGGCGTTCTAAAAACATGGCGCTCCCATTGAAAACATACGCCAGGGGCCTTATTTATCAACAATGCGTACGTACAAAAACACAGCGTACGTCAGTTCTCGCGTTAACGGCCAGATGTACTAACAGTGAAATGAACGTAAGAATGTGCGTTCCTCCAAGTAAACTTCATGTCTGGCCTACATACATTTGCCTTGATTTGTCCGTTGGCGACTCATAGTGGCAATAAAGTGAAGTGCCAGCTGTCAGATATTGCTTAATAATATGTCAAATAATGTACCAATTACAAATTATGTCACCCGAGTCTTATTAAAATATTCTATTATGCAATTAAGTAAGAACATAAAGCATGTGCAAACCCGTCTAGCAATGGCAGCGTTGGCATAGGAATAAAAAATAAACTTCATTAATTCAGTCAGTAAAGGTAAAAAAAATTAAGTAATATTTTTATTCAGCTTGGACACATTGAATTTGTTTTAAAGTGCCAGTAAATGTATTTATAATGTTACAAAATATTATACGATTTTTATATGCGTTTGATTTAAGTTTTTATTCATTAAAGAATCCTGAAAATGCTATATCACGGTTTCCATGAAAATATGAAGCAGAAGCACAGCTGTTTTCAACACTGATAATAATCATAAATGTTTCTTGATCATCAAATCATCATATTAGAGTGGTTTCTGAAGGATCATGTGACACTGAAGACGAGTAATGATGCTGAAAATTCAGCTTTGATCACAGGAATATATTATGGTGTGTTCACACCGAACGCGAATTTAATTACTCGCAAGAGTAGATTACATACAAAGTCAATGCAAAGACGCGAATAGACGCATCATTCGCGCCGGGTGTTGCGAATGACGCGAATTGGGCGACAAATTTGAGCTCGAGCGAATGTTCAAGCGTCTAACTAGACGCGTATTTGACGTTCTATTCGCGTTCGGTGTGAACACACCATTAGACTTTCTCATGTATTCACATAGAAGACATTTTCAGTGAAATTCCGTTTCTTGCAGGTTTCTTTTGCTAAATTGGACTAATTACCATATTTAAATTAATTTAATTGAGGGAGGAGACTGAGTGAGGCGTTGTGCTCGCGCATTGCGCTCAATTTTACGTTAATTGGGATGTACAAAGAGAATATGCGTGGGATCCTTTGTACACAGACAGCTTTGTTCGTATGCAATGTTTTTGTGTGAATTCAATGCAAGTCTTTGTACATGAGGCCCCAGGCATGTGGAAAAACGCTTTGGTTGACATATGGCCTTAAGGTGTGGTCACATTTGCAATATTTCGCCCAAAATTGTCAATAGTGCAGCGAAGCACAGCTCAACAGAAGTCAATTTCAAACCAAGACGCTTTCTATTGGTCAACGCGGCAAATTCATGACAAAAAATTCAACCCAATGCGAAGTCTATGTGGGGAAATCTTTCGCCCTCTCGCAAAATTCCCGATTTCTGCTTGCAAACAAGGCCTTGAGTTGTTGAGCTGCCACAAAACCATGGTCCAAGTAGTGTATCCACAGTAAATCCATGGGAAATGATGGTGATTTGTAGATTGAAAAGCCTTCTGTCTGTATCGTTGCGCAGGGCTTCTTCTGTATATCAGGATCAGCTCTAGTAAGCTTGTGCCGCGCTGCTGTTTGAACATTGAGCCGAACGGATAAATCAAGCCTGAAAACTCAGCGAATTCACCACCATCATTGATAATTATGGTCGTCAACCCTGCGAATTTGTGGGGGGAAGTTTTGCCCTTGCATGAAATTCCTGAACACAAAGATTAGTTCCTATTAGACTGCTTGCGAAACAATACATTTGAACAATGGTCTTTTTTTGTGTGTGTTTTTGTTAAGATATTGGCACAATAATGAGAGTAGTTGAACTGTCCCCTCTGAGGGGATCGGTGTCGTGGACGGGGAAGCCAGTGTCGTACTATCTGCATACAATAGACCGCACCATAGTAAGTTCCACTTTATTCATGTCACATGGGTTTTGTTGTTCCTCTTGGTGTACAATGGGTGTCTTATTTGCTTTAGCCTTCATTGCCAGGCAAATTAAGCACACAGAGCATACCTCTTTGAGTATTACATTGATATCTAACCAGACTTTTTCTTCTTTTTGCAGCTTGAAAACTATTTTTCTAGTCTCAAAAATCCTAAACTCAGGGTAAGATTTTCGTTTTTGAATTTCATGTTGTTTTGCTCCTAAATCTCTTCCCACAACACATGCGGTGTGTTTTTGGTTCCAGGAGGAGCAGGAGGCAACCAGAAGGCGGCAGCAGAAGGACAGTAAGGAGAATAAGAGCAACACCACCACCCCGACCAAGCCCAAGGAGCACAAGGTAGACCTTCATTCATTTATTTCACGTGTATTTGTCTATATGTTTATTTAAAATAAATAATTTTCTTTATTTTAATCGATTAAATCGTCTTTGCCGTGTGCCTCAGACGCAGCATGATTCGGGTGGTGAGGAGGTCCGCTCGAACTCACATGTGCCAGTGAAGCCTTCGCCCAAACCCCGCCGGGCCAAACTGCTGTCCAGGGGCCGCAAGCTCAGCAACAGGAAGCGCGGACGGCCTAAGAAGGCTGCCGCTACCACCGCGGCCGAGCGCAAGAGCAAGAAGAGCCAGAGCGCCCTCGATCTGCTTCATGCCAAGACCCTCTCAGCGGCCCCCCCTCAGGGTGAGACGCTTATCTAAAATCAAGGCTTTTCAAGGTAATTGAAATTGGTTTATGACCTTTGCTTTTGTGCTTTCGTTCGATCCGCAGATCCTCAGAGTCCGTTCTATCAGCTACCTCCCAAAGTGCAGCATTATACATCAAGTCAGCTTCTCTTGGGCCCCACTCCACCAGGCCTGCAGGCTCTTCTTGGTAATTTCACTCAGCCTCACTTCTCCTTCCATATTTAACACGAGGAGATCTATTTCAGTTCCACAGAGTTGCATTTCTGCGCTAGTTACGTAGTCAGTCGCCCAGTTAACGTAAACTGTCTCGCTCATGATCTAGATAACGTGAAAGTCCAGTACCTGCAGTTCATGGCCTACATGAAGACACCACAGTACCGCACCAACCTGCAGCAAGCTCTTGAGCAGGAAAAGGTAAATCTCTCTCTTAGAATATATATTCTAATATATTATATAGTTGTAATAAAACATATGTGGTGTGTGTATACATAGATACATACATATTACTATTTGAATTCTATTAATAAATGGTTTTAAAATGATATACATTATATTTTAAATGTTAATTCATATGTGTGTGTGTGTGTATAGGTATGTGTGTGTGTATATATATATATATATATATATATATATATATGTATATGTTTATTTCACAAATTTTATATGTTTATTTAACAAATTTTAATTTAAAATGTGTATGTAGTATGTAGTATATAATAGTAGTAGTAGACACTATTGTTATACACGATAGTTTTATACATTTTAGAGCTGTCAAAATATCATTTTTTCTATTTATTTCTATTTATATCTATCTTAGTTTTATATATATTTAATTATTATTAGTAGTAATGATAAAACATATTATTTACGCCATATTTAAGAAATTTCATTTATAAAAAAAAATAGATAGTCTTGTGAATTTGTGAGCTCTGCAAATAAATGTACTTTAAATGTTTTTTTGTCAATGTTATTGTTCCTTTTCTCAGCTGAGGCACACAGAACTATCCGGTCAAGCCCAACAGCTGCTCAATGCTTGTAATAGCCACAAGGAGAGGATCAGAGACCTTTTCCAGTCTAAACTGGAGGAAGTAAGACTTTTCTCAACATAGTGATCTGAAGTCAATAATACAGTAGGCATCAGAGCTGAATTTAAACCCTGCCGCCTATGTCACAGCTGGGCGTGAAGGCGGTAACCGTGGAGGACCTGGTACAAGCTCAGAAGGAGATCACAGCCCACAACATGCAGCTGAGGGAACAGACCAAACAGCTGGAGAGGGATATGGCAGAGCTCCGCGATCAGAGCCTGGTGCTGGTGAGTGATCCAATATAAACCCATCATGCCCCGCCTCAACGGAGCAGAAGGATGCAATGATTCAGAAATGGCAGATTTAGAGCTAAACTCCCATTGTCCGTATGTTTGTGTGTGTTTGTCAGCTGAAGGCTCGATGTGAGGAGCTCAAGTTAGACTGGGGGTCTCTGTGTTTGGAGACTCTGTTAAAAGAGAAAGCCGCATTACGAAGACAAATCTCAGAGAAACAGCGCCACTGTCTGGAGCTCCAGGTAACTCACATGCACGCTTTATTCAGTCAGCTCAGAGTAAACAGGACATTGCATATTTCAGAGTTGTGGCACAAGTCTTAACCATGCCAAAAATCACAATTTGGCCTCTGATAACTTCCTGTTTCTCCACTATTTTGGTTTAATAAAGGCAGGTAAGCCCTGCCGAAACATGTGTCCGAGCTTTGGCATGTTGATCTTTTATGTACAAGAAGGTGGCATAGGTTTGAATCAGGACTGCAACGTGCCACAATCACATTTTCCATCTCTGGATTCAAGAGAGTTATATCAGACTTAAGATTTTCCAGAAAGTGACTCTGAATTAAATGTGAAGGACACAACAGAAATCAATATAAATCATTAAAAAAAAAAAAAAAACAGAAAAAAATCTGTAATCTTTAATGTTATTTGGGTCTGAAAAATTGTAAATGTTCTGACAAAACCTTGTTTACAGAAGAACTAGCTTCTAAAGGGATATTTTTACCATGAGCATTACAGGTTGGCTCTTTCTGCATTATCAATGGCTCCCCCTGGTGTTTCTTTGCAGATCAGCATTGTTGAACTAGAGAAGAGCCAGAGGCAGCAAGAGCTCCTGCAGCTCAAGTCATCCTACAGCCCGTGTGAGGTGTCCCCCTACCGAAAGGCCCTCCCTGGCCCAGATACCCGGCTCACGCTGGATTCCGACACCCCCAGACTTACCCCACAAGCTTCTGCAGGACTCAACGGCCTCAGTCCCGAGCTATCCATCAATGGCACGTCCTCGCCAGGTTATGAGAGAGGCGGTGGAAGTGGAATGGGGAAAAATGAGCTCCTCACCCGCTACCTGCCCATTTCCCCTGACCATGAAATTGTGCCACCCACCCCAGACTCGAGAACCAGGCAGCTAGGGCAACCCCAGCCCGACTACACCCGCTTTTCTCCAGCCAAGATCGCACTCCGTAGGCACCTCAATCAAGATTCAGCTGCCAATCAATTTAGAGCCCTTGGCAACATCCACCGGTGAGTAAAAATAACACGGTTAGTTGACTGAGTACTTGTCGATTAGTCACTGATCACTCACGGGTGTTTTCAGGGGCGACATTGTTGCGGTTTCATCTCCAACTCTGGGATTAAAACAGGCTTGCTCTTCACCCAATTCATCTGATATTCAAACGACCACCACACCCAAGAACACAGATAGGGTAACTACTGTGCATTTGTGTTTATGCAAACCCCTTTTTGAAAATGCAGCAAATGTTGAGCGTCTCTTTCCCAATTTCAGGCCGATAAGGAAAAGAGCCCGGCTGCTCCCGGCGACACTATAACCAGTCTACCAATAAGCATCCCCCTCAGCACTGTGCATCCCAGTAAACTTCCTGTCAGTATCCCGCTAGCCAGTGTGGTGCTGCCGAACCGTGCAGAAAGACTGGTACGAATCTATGTGGGCGGAAGTGATGATACATGATCTTGTGGATGTTTCTTGCCCACATTTCAGCATTAATTTAAGCCGTTTTCTTTTGGCAGAGGAGCACTCCTAGTCCAGTTTCAAATCCAGCTGGACAGAGCAATGGCAAGGCACCTCTCACGCCTACCTCAGGTACAATTTTTGGACTTCATAAACCAGATGTTCAAAAATAAGGTCTAATCAAACATCATCCATCCATGTAGGTGATTTAAATTAGTTATCTTCTAAATCCAAATCTGTTTCCTCTTAGGGTACTCCTCCAGCTCAGGATTGGCTAATGGCTGTCACTCTGCCATGCTGACCGAGGACCAAGACTGTGACACCGCATCCCCTCCCCCTCACAGCACACCTATCATGGGGCTTCAGTCCCGCGGCTCTGGCCTCAGTCCTCCACTGGGCACCGGAGGTGTGCTGCAGTATGCCGATGGCCCACCAAGGCTTCCCCCCGAGGACGGCCATGACCGCCAGGGCCACGAATCCGACACAGAGCCCTTGGACAGCGAGGCTCGTCGTCGTATCTTTTTCTCCTCGTCCTCTTCCTCCTCGTCGTCTTCATCCTCCACTGGAGGCTCGAGGCTGCACCATGGGTCGGTAAAGCAGGGTCACCATCATCACAATAAACACCACCATCACCACCACCATAATCATCACTCTCCAAGTTCTCATAGCCACGAGGGGCGGAAGCGTGGCCGGCGGAAGCGCAGCTCCTCTGGGGTCATGCCCATAAGCGGCTCCCCCAAAAGAAGGGCGTTTCCTGGTCTGGGCTGCCCAAGCCATTCCTCTGGATCGCCGCTTAATATCAATTCTATGGTGAGTGGACACAAACAATGGTGGTTGTTAGTATTGCTCAAACATACGATTGGCCTCGAATCAGACTCGACGTGTTCTTTCTTTTACTAGGTGAACAACATAAACCAGCCTTTGGAGATCTCCGCCATCTCTTCCCCGGAGCAATCAGGCCGAAGCCCATGCGGGCCAGATCTAGATCAGCCTCCCGTGCTCAAAAGAGAGCGTCCCCTGGAGCTCAACACAGATCGCTATTCCTCCACCCCTAGTTCGGACGAAGAGGGCACCAATTACGCTCCAGACACTTCTAGTTCAAGCCGGTAATATAGTTTTCCTTTCGAATCAAGTTAATTGACCTTTAAACTTCGTGGAATGTTGTTTGATTTAGTACCTTGATTGTTTTCCCGTTTAGAATCGAACGGAAAATTGCCACAATTTCCTTAGACCGAGATGGACCTATGAGAGATGTGGAAAGGGGTAAGTGGCGTGTGTTTTGGCTTACAGAGATTTCAAGTTTCAAGTGTCTATTTGTAACGGAACGTGGCTTTTTATAGGCTCGCAGGGACGTAAATCCGGTGCCAGCAGCGTGAGCAGTGAGGTGTCCTCTTCCTCCGGAGCCAGCAAGTGGAAATCCACCTTCTCCCCAATCTCTGACACCAAGCCAACTCCTTCGGACCTCCGCCAAGGTGGTTCGCCGTTCGGCATGGGGACATCCCGAGGGAGCACGGACTCTGACTCAGACCAGAAACCACAGAGGAGAGGGGAACGTGAACGTGAGCCTTACGGGAACTCAAACCTCTTCCTCAGTCAGGATGGTGGCGGTCGCTCGGTCGTCAACACGGAGCGCCCGCTGCAGAAACAGAAAGTGCGGGAGTGGGACCTGAAATCCGTAAGTGGATTGGCCAGCCAGAACCTCTTTATATCTGCCGCGGCCAGTGGCGGTATCCTGAGTGGGAAAGTGGGCGGGACCACTACTGTTTCGTCTGCATCCTCAGTGGGACAGTACTTTCCCCTGGGTGGGGCTTCAGTTCTGCAGTCCTTATTTGGAGCGCAGACGCCCGGACCAGCCACCAGCGGAGCCCCCCGGTTGGTCAACGGACATTCGGCGCTTGGCAGTTTCTCCAGCGCCGGGCTGGCAGGGGGCGCTGCAGGAGGTGAGTTGAAGACATTTGTCTCTCTTTGTGTTTTTGGGTGAAATTGAGTTTGTGGTCAGACCAGTCCTTTGGGTGTTGAGAAAAGGTAAGTTAAAGCCCAGTGCTGCCACCTTGCCTGGCTCTCTCACACTGCTTGCTGTGCGGACTGTGCAAAGGCTAAAGCTACGCACCTAGAGGAAATGAGAACAGGTTGTAATAAAATTATGTCCTGGATATGTTTCACCCCAGTCAAAAGAGAAAATGAAACCCTGAGCTGCATATCAGGATATCAGAATGATTTGTGAAGGGTCATGTGAGTAGTGATGCTGAAAATTCAGCTTTTATCACAGGAATAAATTACATTCTAAATATATATTCAAATTGAAAAGGTTATAGAAGTTGTAATGATATTTCGACTTCTTTCAAAAACAGAAAAAAAATTTATAGACCCCAAATATTTTAACTATTTTTTTATCTAGTTTTTTCGTTAGATTTTCCTGTGAAACATGTTCTTGACAGGTTTTATTGGGTGAATCCCACAAAGCTTATAAAGCTTCCTGCAACACCTTACAAAGCCAAATCCTTTTAAATCATTTTCACCGGCCTTTATGGTGTAAACTGGTGATTTAGAGGCCTGTGAAAATATTCAGAGCTGTCAAGCTCTTTGTAATTTGTGAGATTGCCGAGAAAGTCCTCGACTCCTTCACATTTTCTCTGGGTGTTTGTCTTCATTGCAGTTCTTGATTTTGGGTGTTGAGGCATTTCACTCTGTACCAGCACCTCACAGTTCATGAAAATGAAATTAGTCACATGATCAGTAGGGTTGAGTATCGTTTGGGTTTTATCCGCTGCCAGTACCTACTCTGTATTTTTTTTTTTTAAACGGTTCTTGAAACGGTACTTAAAGGGATGGTTCACCCAAAAATGAATTAATTACTCACCCCCATGCTGTACCAACCCCATAAGACCTTCGTTCATCTTCGGAACACAAATGAAGATATTTTTGATTAAATTTGAGAGCTGGATCACTACCACATAGGCACCCTAAGGGATCGAAACTTGACTGCCCAGAAAGTCATCGAAGAAAATGTTTAAATATTCCATGTGACTACCGTGGCTCAACTATAAGTTTTTCAAGCCAGTGTTTCCCAACCCTGTTCCTGGCGGCACACCAACACTGCGTGTATTCTTTGTCTCCCTTATCAAACACACCTGATTCAACCCATCAGCTCATAATCAGGTGGGTTAATGAGCTGATGGGTTGAATCGGGTGTGTTTGATTAGGGAGACAAAGAAAACACGCAGTGTTGGTGTGCCGCCAGGAACAGGGTTGGGAAACACTGTTTCAAGCGACGCAAATACTTTTTGTGCAGAAAAAAACAACGACTTTTTTCGACTATGCCTTTTCTTCCTTGTAGGCCTGAGACGAGAGTTCAAGAGATTTCCACAACGCATGCGCGAGAACTGCGTTCTTTTTCTACTACTTGTTCAGTTCTTGCGCATGCGTTGTGGAAATCTCTCGTCTCAGGCCTACAAGGAAGAAAAGGAATAGTCGAATAAAGTAGTTATTTTAGAGAGCGAGAGACTTGCGTGCGTGCGCCTCATGACACAGAGACTCAGGTACCGAAATTTTCGTTCTTATTCGGTCTGGTTACTACAGTTTACGTCAGAACCGGTTCCTTATTGGCACTGAGTTTCGGTACCCAACCCTAATGATCAGTGAGACAGGAGTAGTGAATGGAGATTTATTTACCCTTACAAATATATATTTCATTAATTGGAAACTGTTTATGATTTAATTGGTTTGAGGTGATGACGGTACATCAGCGCAGTGCCTCGTTGCTTTATGTGCTTGTTTGTCGGACTGGCTTGCTGCTGTGCACAATCTGGCTGAGCCCCCATTTTCTGTCTCTCTCTCTCTGTCTTTTGCTCCCCTCTCTGTGATGTATGTCTGCAGGGATTTTTCACCATATGGTGCCTTCAGTCTCCTCACAGCAGTCTGGGGCCAATGTGCCGGGCCCCGGGGCCCTCAGTTCCCAGCAGAGGCATCTGGACACAAACCCCAAACCAGGGGCCTCGTTCTTGGCCTCTGGCCCCTCGCAGCATAGCCGCACACAGACAGTCCTGCACACGCCCACCCAAGCCCTTCCTCCGCCCCCTCCCCTTCTGAACACGTCCTCTGCTGTCCCTCCCCAACCTTCCTCCCCGCGTTCCTCAAGGCCGCAGTCGTCCCTCCCCGCCTCCACCTCCTCCCCATCTCTGGCCACCTCATCCGCTTCAGTCACCACCTCTGCTTCCTCCCGGCCCTTCACTGTGCACTATCCCCCGCATCTGCCGCCTCCGCACCCCCCCGGCAGCACTGGTTCAGGCGGGGCTGGGGTCTCCTGGAGGACTCTGGGTCTGCAGGCTTCCTACACAGCCTCGCAGATCCCCGGCAATCGCCCCAGATAGGACACGTCCGGGGTGGGGGAGGGGGGGTTGAAATTGAAAGACGCTAACTAGACGGATACAGGGAAGCTACTGCATTCTGCAAGCTATGTTATTTTGAGTCTGAACAAGGTATGTGGTGTTAGCATGGAAACGGGCAACACGCTTTGCTGCTTTTCTTACTTTCAATTTTTTTTTTTTTTTTTTTTTTTTGGCAGCTGCATTTCCTGTGAGTTTTTTGGTTTCAGAAACCAGCAGTTAGAATATTAATGTCAGAATTGCCCATTTTGTAATGTCTATTGAAAATATCATTACATGTTCAGGGCTCAACAATGAGTTATTCGGAGTGATTTCTACTCTACTAGCCCCACAAATATTATTATTTTACGTGGTAGCAATGAGCAAAACATATTAGTAACCCTATTTTTGTAAGTGTTTGAAAAATATTTATTATTTTTTAATAATAGCTGGGAATGTAATATATATAAAGTCTGTGACAATTTTATAAACATTTTTGCTAAATGATTATAATGGCTTATGCAAAACATACAAATGAAAAAAATAAATAATTAAATAAAAATACATATGTATATATAAATATTTATATATATATATATATATATATATCTTATATATAAAAAATGTTTATACATTTTTTTTTGTTTGTGTGTATATATATATATATATATATATATATATATATATACATACATATACACAAATGCACTCACACAAAATCACAGAACAATTAAATATAAATAGTTAAAGGTACAATATGCAAGATTTTTTTGCCACCAGGGGTTGCTAAACTCTTACAATAACAAAGGCGTATATTAATGAGGTATATTCCGCATTAAGCGGAATTATGGATCTTGTCGTCAAGCTGATGGATCTTTTATGGAGGAGTGAATAGATTGATGTTTTTAACATGACTGTAGTATGAAGCAGGGCGCGATTGATAGACGTATACCAGCGCCACACGCAACGCGAGTCCCGCGAATATAAAGGAATAAGGACATTTCTTTCTAGCGTACTACACGCAAGTGCTGAATTAATACTCACACAGGTCAGTTTATTAGAGGAATTAAACTTGAGGTAACGCAGCGCTGCTTCACTTGCTTTAACAGTTAACGTTACACTAAACTGCATTTGTGTGTGTTGAATGTTAGTTAGGTTGTTTGTTGGCTGTATGAGACTAAGCTAGATTAACAATAGAGAATGACATACAACTTTTCATCATGTTGAACTACATAACATTGATTAGTTTTATGTACATTAATTTGCTCACCTGTTTGCTCAAGTAACATGCAACACTCGCGTCTCTGTCAAGTCGAAGTTAGTCGCGGACGTGGAGCTCTCGGCATCTCGAAAGATGTTGATCTTCGTTTTAGTCCTTTTTTCGTATCAAAGTCTGCTTGCCTTGTCCATAATGTTTGAACAAAACCCTGCTTGGGACGCTCACATAACGGGCATAACCAACCCAGTTGTCAACGTCTGTCGCCATGGTTAATATTGCAGTACTAGGTTAAACCTGGCGGAAACCGGGGGTAACGCGGATATGATGCCATTGACTGGTGACTCCTCACCCCTGCTCACACGCCCTGTTTCCTTGGTTAAAAATCGCAATTTTTCTCACGATTTACAAATAGTCGGAAACATTTTGGATATTGTAAGTAAATCAACTAAACTAAATAACATTGGCCTAGTGGTTTTTGGATATTTTACTGCAAAAATCCTGCATATTGTACCTTTAAATCATAATTAATATAAATACACTTATTTTATATCATATATATTTTACATATTAAATAATAAAAATCTTTCGTTTTTATATGTATAAAAAAAAATTTAATCATCCAGCAAAAAAGTTTATGAAATAACACAATTATTTTTGTTATATTTAGTATTTATTATTATTATAATTGCATATATATACACACACAAGTGTATACAAGCAAGCTCCTACACAATAATTAAAAAAATCCAATCCAAATGCATAAGTTTGCCAGACATGTAAATTGTTGAGCCCTGATGTTCATGATATGTCTGTCCACACCATGTGTAATTCCTGGATTTTACCCCCGACTGGTTACAGGTAACTGAAGAAATCTACCTCAACCCAACATAACCTATGCAATGGACAGGTGTGGACCAATGGGCTCGACTCGCTCACCGGTGCTCGAACATTTTCTAAAGCCGCCACTGTAAAAAAAAAAACTGGCATGGGTATCAGAACTTATCACAGGTGCAGCTTCACACACACACACACACACACATACACACACACGCCCCCTAAATCAATGACAATGGGCCCTACACAAAAAATTACTTGTGAATCTCTATAACCTTGCTGCTGTTATCAATGAAAAGAAATGTGGCTTTTATGAATGATAAAATCGTATTCGGGTGGACTCCATGAAGCCTTTAAAGCCTGAGCTTGTGCTAAAATCACTATTTTAGAAGTTTTAGTCACTTTTTTTGACCAATAATTGTTCTGTAGCATAATATCATCTTTGTATTGGGTATTTTAATCTCTTCGTTTTCCACACAAGGTAAATAATAGGAATCCACAAGCTCCGACTGTAAAAGAGTGAATCTCCAAGTTATATTTTACCCCAAAAAGAAGAAAATGTATAGAACCACAAAAAAAAAAAAAATGTCTTGTTTATTTCTTAATAAATTCTTAGCAAATCACATGATATTAAAAGTTTAAATAAATATTTAAATAATAATAGAATATGAAACTAAATATATTTTGCGTGACATTTGTTTGCATCACAGTTTTGTCATTAAAATAGACCCTACAAAAAATACTTCAATTTCAAATTCTTCTTATTACTATTTTCTTTTTGGTTTTTTGGGGTATAATATGACCCTCTTGATAGGCTTCATGAGATACACTGATAATAAAATAATTGAATTATTTTTACACTGGATCATAATTTACCTGTGGATCTATTAACGACGTATTATGGCTGCATGTCATTTTTTTAATTCTAAAATTTGGAAGCTTTTATTAATCAAAGGGGCGGGGGGGGGGGGACTTTAATTTTACACACATATAAAATAAATCGTAAACAATTAAAACGAGATTGAAACGCAATCTGCCGGGAGAGAAGCCGTTAGAGCCACAGAATGAGCGAATGCCTGTAAGGATCTTATTGAATCACTACGTTAACCGTTTGGTTTAGGGCCCTGTCGTAACACACAAGCTTCCACGTTCTTGACAGTTACTGCTGAACTTTTAATACAGTGCACATATTTTGTTCAATCTGGGCGCGGCGTCTTACACGGTACAGGCTTATTCAGGTGAATCTGGTGCTGAACCGTTTTCTTGACAGATTTCGTAGGCGTTTTCTTTCGGATTGCGAAATCCGACGTTGTCGTGGTGCTCTCCGCAATCTGGAAAACCAGCACACACTCGTACATGCATACAAACAGACACTCACACACTGATTAAAAGATGTACACACACTGGGAAAATACAAGATCACAAAACGACAACAAAACTACTGGGGAACTTCAACTCATCCTTTTTGTTTTTCTTTGTGTATTTTTGTTTTTCTTGTACTGTGAATGGTAGTCTCTCTCAGACTGTATAATTGTGTATATAATTTGGGTTATTTATCATTTTAATTTAGTCTTTTTTGTTATTTTTTGGTGTGTGATTGCTCTTTTTTGTTACAGAGCAGAGCACAACATGTGCAAAGTGTGTATGTACTTGACTCGCAGTCTAAAAAGACATGGTGCTACAATCTGTACAACTTTAGACTGCTTATTTATATTAAGATCATCAACAAAGAAAAAGAAATGAATAAAGATTTTGGTGGTGCTTTTAACACAGGGATGTTTTGAAGCCTTGCGGCATTTATTTTTCCTATATTTATAATGTAATCGTATTATTTGGCGCCCAGCACGAAGAAACACTTGGATCAGTGCCGTTTTTCTATAGAAGAAACACCTTTTCGTCTTAATTTACCTTAAAGAAGCATGAAAAAAGTACATTGCAGAACTTTATAGGATGATTTTTTTTTTTTTTTTTTTTCAAAATGTATTTACTTCAATGGTGCTCCAACGTCGACCTGTGTGACAGGTAGTGAATGCTTTGAATAATACATTTGGCAAACTGGTGCCAACTGGCATTTAGTTCCTTAAGATTTTACTTTCTCGTTAGGATAAAGTGTGCTAAGCCTATTTGCCTACCGTCTTGGCCCGTGCGGCTTGGTGCTGTTTCTTAAAATCGTTGTTTTCTTCGCAATATAACACAAACCGCTTCATCTTACACAAACTTGGCGCGGCCGTTCACATGGATGTCAGACCAATTATGCCCATACAATCCACTATCAAAGCCTGTCTTAGAGTGCATTGCGTTGTGTATCCTAGAGTTTGAGCCTATTACGTATCGTGGTGATGTGAAGTTGTTCTGATGTGACCGGTTGTAGAGATCGCTAGTGTTTTTGTCAGTGGGCTTGTACTAGTGGTCGACCGATATGGGTTTTCCAATGACTTTTGGAATAATTACTAGCATATCTAGAGAATAGACTTGCCAGTAGCATATTTAATGGATTATATTAAATATTTGGAGAATTCATACATTCTGTTGTCATTCCAAACCTCTAGGACTTAATTTCTTCTGCAGAACACACAAAAAAAAGAAAACCAGTTTGTCCATACTGTGAAAGTCATTGGGGTCCAAAATTTGGACCCCATTGACTTACATTATGTGGACGAAATTTTTGAGATTTCCGCCTGCCCGATATATCGGTCTATCACTAGCTATTTCAGCGTTGTCAAAATAGTCATTGGCGTGCAACATTGTCGACTTGAAGACAAAGCGGGAGTTGACTTCCTCATTGTTTTGCGTCCTTATTTCTTTTTATAATGTTTTCTTGCTCAAGTATGTGCTCAAGGAAAAATCAACCTCACCTAAGCGTTAGTCAGAATGCTGTTTAATAGACTATGGTGTATAATAATATTAAAAAAAAAGTTTAAATGGTCTCTCTGTCCAATTAACATGAGGACATTTTATTGAAATAGGATATTGACCATTAATTGTTAACCAGCACTGAGGGTTTTTTTGTTGTAATTAATAGTCAATGTTAATGTTACTTGTTTTATTGGCCGTTTTGTGTTTTGATATCTTTACGACTGTTTATCGATGATGGTTTTATTATGATTTCCTAATCCTGAGCATTTGGATACTCTTCAGAACAGTATGATGGTGCTCTCCTACACTTTAAACAAGGAAAATGCAGCTATGAAATTCATGCGCCTTACATTGTGAGGGGTTAACATTTAATAAACGTCATTGCAAGCTTTGCTTTGTGACGTCTCATTTGAACTCTTGTCCAGATGCTGTCTCCTGTTAGGGTGGAAATTAAGCTCTTCTCGAAATCGATGTTAAGCTATTTAAAAGGATAACAGATCGTAATTCTTGATGTTGCTTTTTCTCAGGTACGTGTTTAAGGTTGTGCGTTGCAAAAGGCAACTCGAGTCCTTTCGCATGTTATAAATAGATTTACAAATATGTTGGGATTATGTAAATTTAGATGTCTAAATATGTAAATTCATATAGGTTGGTCTAGTTTCTCAGGAGCATCAGTTCTGGCTTTAATAGTTTTGCATATTAAAAGGGAATGTTGAAAATATTGGCTAGCTGATAGATATAAATGAAGATGAATTTGCTTTACTGTACATTACCTGTTATAGAATTTTAATACACCATCTCAAATGTCGTAATTTGCCCTTTTTAAGTTATTAGAATGAATTTGAAAGATATGCGTTCCTATTTTCAATTAATCACAATCTTATTAATCTAATGATTTTAGTTGATAAGGTTTTAAATCTCAGCTTTTTGTTAATAGTGTTTCCAATAAAAGCTCAGTTTGATCCATTTTTTTTGTTTTCATTGCCTTACTTGCATAATGTACAAAGATTAATGTCCAGCTGGCAACGGTAATTTAGCAATAAAACAATTACAACCCAATTAAAAAAAGAATCAGGCAATGCAAATGACCTTTGTGAAGTTCACTACACGTGATCATTTATTAATGTCCTTTCTGTGGCTGCATATTCCATGTGGGCCTGCTGATAGGTAAAGATGATATTTGTTGAATATAATTTGAAAAGATTGCAATGGTGTTGATATACAATGAAAATTGCTGAAATCCTGTGCAACATCAAATAAAAAAAAAAAAAAGAAATTAACCTTGTGTTCTTTTGTTTTCTTGCAAAACAGACCTTAAAGGTGTAGTTCACTTTTAAAAAAAACTTTTGCTGATAATTTCCTGTTCGAACTCGTTCATCAAAATGAACGAATCTTTTTCCGAGTCAATTCGTTCGTTGAATGAACCAAATGTCTCGGAAAAAGATTCGTTCATTTTGATGAATGAGTTCGAACAGGAGAGTCACAAATGTACGTCAGAATAGAGCAAGGCAAGCATTTGAGCTTATAAAACTTACAGTTATTTATTTATTTATTTTAACTGAGCGATCGTTTTGCTTGATAAGACCCTTATTCATCGTCTGGAATTGTTTAAAGCCCTTTGAACATACGGCACTGAAACTGTCTTTTGTAACTTGAACCGTTTGCTTACCAGTAAAGTCCATTATATGGAGAAAAATCCTGGAATGTTTTCATCAAAAACCTTAATTTCTTTTCGACTGAAGAAAGAAAGACATGGACATCTTGGATGACATGGGGGTGAGTAAATTATCAGCAGACGTTTTTTTAAAAGTGAACTACTCCTTAAAGTAGACTTCACAGTTTGTGTATGTAACAATTCACATCAAATAATCAAAAATTACAGCTTTTAAAACACAAAAGTGTATGAGTTCTGTAAAAACGCATCACACATAATACAAAAAAACCAGAGTACGGTTGTAAGCATTTATGAAATACCCCTTGTACTTTCAAGAATTCCAGATATGGTAAACTATCTAGCAATTCGTCCTCTGTGACTTGTTCCTGTTCTCAGCCATTCTTTCGGCTAAAAGATACCTGCCTTATCTCTTGGGACTGGTCAAACATCTATCACACCAGCGCTAGAGGGACCTTGAATGTCTGGAAAACATGTGCAGCTGTGCGTCTTCCAGAGATCTGAGCTAGGAGTAACAGAGGACTATTGTAGCTGTTCTTTTAGCACTTTTTGATTAAAGAGCCTTTTGCCTTTAATGTCAGGAAATATAGGAGCATTTGGAAATGGTACAAGCCTAGGTTCAAAAGGACATACACTACCAATGTTAATTCAGAGGGACCATGTTAGCAATAAGAGAACTAAATGGTAACCCACGTTGTGCAACTATTTAAGCCAATGTGAAACTGTGTTCCTTGTTTAAGTTCATGGATCCACTCCTTGCAGGATTTAAACCTATACCATTTTGGTTACCGGCCCAGATATGCCCTAGACTTTTAATCAAGTCAAGAACAAAAAATATAGTTCCTCCAGATCGGAGATGCGCAATACAAGACAACTTACAATGGGGGTAACAAAATGTGTCCGAAGTAGTCACTCTGGCAAGTCTTAACTTGTGTCCCTTGGGAATGAAATAAGGTAAGCGGGTACGAATTTAAGAATAGAACTTTGTTGCAATTTTGGATCAAACTGTTATCCGCTACTACAGCTGGGGTCGACACAGTATTCCATTGTCTGGATGAGTTCCTCCATCTTATCAAAGCTCAAAGGCATGTGACGTCCATTCACCATTCACCAAGTTCACACGTTGACTCGCATGCTTTGAATACCCAGTGTTACACCAAGGACACGATTTCTTGGCTGGCTGGCTGGTTTCAGGAGGTGTGTATAAAACACATCCCTGCGGCTGACCCACCCCAAAACAAGTATTGGATTTCTCTGTGAACGAATGAGAGAAGATGCTTTTCCAGGCAAGAGTTTGGCTGATGATGTTGCTGACTGTGGCGACCGGTGCCACAGTGGGACACAAAGAGCAGGACAACAACCCGAAAGTCATTCCTCTATCAGGTCAGTCCCTTCCGTTTGTCCCGTACCTGTTTCTCAGGGATCATTGAACTTGCTAAAGTAATAGCTTGTACTTTCGACATGGTTATGAAAACAGTTTGATGTTTTCTTGATTATATTTTTGGATTCCCTGAAGTGGTTGCATGGGTGTATGAATCTTTTGACAAAATTGAGGAACACATAAAGGCATGGGTGTCCATTCCTGCATAGTTTAGATCTGAAACACTTGCCTGGGCGTTTCAACTGAGCGATTAGAGAGCAGACGGCTCTGCATGCTTTTCAATCGCTCTCTCTATACATTGATGTCATAACCCGATCGGTCTATGCAGTGCCAGTTGATGTCGAACAAGACTAAAGACTTTGATTAGTTGCTGGAAGGTGGCCCTGCAGGAGTGGGATAGGGTTACTTAACTCTCCAAACGGGGAAGAATAACTTTAGGTGACACTTTCTGCCCTTGAATGGTTGTCTAATTGACCAACAGGATTGAACGAAGTTGAGCGAGAAGTCAGTGAACAGCCAATTGGCCCACCTGCCCAGTCAACACAAGCCACCGAAGATGTGCCAAGTGAGCAACAAGCTCACAATCATGCAACTGATAACTTCCTGTCAGCCCTGAACGGGGAGAGTGAACAGGGCAGGATCAATTTCCAGAACTTTGGAATATGTTCGCCCGGAGCTCCAGGTTTCCAGCTTTCAGATCTACTTCAGAATGCCCAACAAACCCAAAAAGGCCTCAAGGGTGTACATGCAATTAAAGGTAGATATATTTTTCTTTGATTTCCAGGTAAACCCTTGGTTTATTTGGATGTTTGTTCAGTTGACACCGTTAGATGAGTTGTGGTTAATGTTTTAATAGATGTTTGGGATGCTGAGCAGGAGGGAGGGATAACTTTAACCCTCACATTCCCAAGACATGCCCGACCGACCAACCCGGCTTCCGTGATGCTCCTGTTTAACGTTGATCCCATTAAAGGAGGCGGTTTGAGAGTGACGTTCAACAGTCATTCCATCCAACCAAATACACAGGTCAACCTCTTGATAACGATTTTTATATTTCTATTCTGACACTTTAATGATAATAGATGGAAAGGGGGCTGCAGGTCTGGGAAATGTTGCGAGCCACATTTTGAACATATTGCTGGCATGCGCATCAAAGTTCAATATGTCAAATTAGAGGGTGCTAACTAACCACTCCTGGCTCTGAGCATATTTTTAAATTACCTGTTTTTTTTTACTTTCAGATGGTTTGCATTTCCGAGGCCACACGTTTCCTGATTCTTGCGGGAGGACACACTCATGCCCACGTTCACCTTAAGCTGAGTGTAACAGTTGAGGCATGGAAGGATGAAAGCGGTGAGACCATTTTTCATAACAAAAATTTGAGACTACTCAAATGAATCCTTTCACACAGCCCATTTGAACTATTTCCGTTACATTTTAGGCTCGAAACCAAGTGTGTCTGAGCTTCAGGAAGTGTTGATGAGAAAGATGGATGGCAGCAATACTACAATGAGGCCGGTTTTACTTTTCCTCTCGGACCGTGATAAGCAAAGTACGCCTCGTTTAAAATATCACGGGTAAATAATTCTCTGGCTAAAGTTTACTCCTTCATTGTACAATTAGATAACCAGATATACGTATATGCAGCAAGCCAATATTACATTGCCAATGTTTCATTGTTTTCCCCAGTATTCCACTGGATGAGAGACCCCCATCCAGAACTTTTCTTTTCCTTTGCGAGCTGCAGAAGTTCTTGAGTGATGTCCTTCAGCAGAAAGAGGGGCCGACACCTCAGGATGATGGAAAAGCATTCTTTTTGGATACACTGCATTCCCTTCCACCTCTCAGCCTTGGAGTGTCGTCCACGGAGTCCCTCCTGTCAGGACTGGTGAACTCCTCCATGCCGACTATATTTGTCTTCCCCCAGAGGCAGCAAGGTCTACAAACTCACCGAGTGGAGGTGGCACTAGATTCCCCTCTGCTGTCTGTGCTCAGAATGAGACTAGATGAAGCCATGGCTCTGGTCAGACAGCAGGAAGCGGGGCAAACGGTGATTGACAGACTCCAGAAACTGAGTGAATTAAGTGCCGTTTCTCCAGATGGAGAGGACGATGAAGCAGGTGAGCATTAGATTTTTTTTTTTTCATAAACACTAATGGACAAATTTTAGAATGTACTCTTTAAAGGAGTAGTTCACTTTAAAAAAAAAAAAAACTTTTGCTGATAATTTACTCACCCCCATGTTATCCAAGATGTCCACGTCTCTTTCTTCAGTCGAAAAGAAATTAAGGTTTTTGATAAACATTCCAGGATTTTCTCCATATAATAATCTGAAAGTGTTTAAAGCCCTTTGAACAGTTTGCACTGAAACTCTCTTTTGGACCTTGAAGAACTGTTTGGTTCCCATTGAAGTCCATTATATGGAGAAAAATCCTGGAATGTTTTCATCAAAAACCTTAATTTCTTTTCGACTGAAGAAAGAGACGTGGACATCTTGGATGACATGGGGGGGTGTAAATTATCATTATTGCGCCAATACAAACATATTTACCTATATTTTTTTACTCTTTGTTTTTACATAGATTTTTTAATGCATGTGAACATTTTTGTGAGATAATTTGAATAATCGTTTCGAGTGAATTTACCAAATCCAACAGATTGAACTGATTCATAATGTCTTGCCAACTTTAAATCAGAAATCCTATGAAAACATCTCCGACATAAATCTCATACTCGTAACGGAAACTAATAACTAATGAATATTAAAAAAATCACCCAGCTCTTTAATGCTAACATTGAATTGCATCTAAAATATTATGATTCATTCAAACTATGGTTTATTTATAGTGAATAAGGACCACAAAGAAGCCCAGTACCGGTCTGTTCTGCTGCTGAAGGCCCTGCAGACGGTTCTCAGTACCTGGGAGGCGGAAAGAGCCCAGAGGGCAGCCAGAGCGGACGAGGGCAGCCCATCAACGCCCAGTCAGTGCCGGCTTCAAAG